CCGAAAAAGAGAGTGCTCGATATGCCACCCCAACGTCCAAATGCCCCTCAACTGCGCATGCCCCTCAAGGCAGGACAAGGCGCAGAGGATTTGCAACTCCTGGAAGAAGTCCAGGCAGAGAAAGAGAACGAGATTCTGCGCGACATCAAGCAGAACATCACCAAGCACATCAAGTGGAACGAAGGATACGTGGATCACACCCGTGCACCACTTTCTCCTTCCCCGGAAAGAATATTCGATGTGGCTGCCTTCCGACCCGCATTCACGGCACAGTTGCCCACTCCTCCATCATCAGAATCGTCTGGCGAGATGGATACTTCCTTAGATGTGACCAGCCCGCTCTTTTCCAGAGACAAGCTTGCATCACACACCATGGAACTTCACGACGAGCCACACCGAATGCCATCTTTCCGACGACGAGTTGGACGTGGTGGCCGGTTGATGATTGATCGCCGTAATATGGGAGCCCGTAAAGTCGACATGGACCCATTCAAGGCTGACCGATTCAAGTTCGACCAAGAAGATTCCGACGAGGAGCCTGAATATGATACGGATGCGTACAGCATTCAAATCATGCAGCACCGGGCTATCACCATGGCAAAGGCACGCGAACAGGCTGCAGTGGCTGCCCAGGCTCATGCGCAGGCGCAGGCACAGGCAGCCCAAGCACAGGCTCAGCGGCGACTACTGGACCAAAATGGTCAGAACCAAGGCTCTATGGGGTCGAATCTCGGACCAGCCCCCGTGGCGGTGTCGGAGACTTGAACCACTCTTTTTCCACTTTTTCCTCTTTCACAGCATTTGGCGGGCGTTTTCTTCGTGGCTCTGTTTTCACCATCCCTTCATCTCTTTGTTTTTTCCTACCCTTTTACCACACTTGTAGTTGTACTCCCTCATGTTTCGATGATTTCCGCGGGCGGCGAAGATTGCTGGTTGATGGCCGATTTCGTTTCTTTTCTTTTCGCGTTGCGTTTCCGCCCACCCTCACACATCTCTTTCTCAACATTTCGTTTCGACGCAGGTGCTAGTTATTCGTGGCTGAGCGCGTCTGCATTTATTAGTGTACATAGTATCTTTTTCTCCCGAATTTCGGTGGTGTTGGCTGGCGTCGGGCAGCCTTTGTATGATGGATAACCGAAGTTATGATGCAAGCGACGAATGGGAGGGCAAAGAAAAAGGCTCAAAAACATTCAGAAAATCTAAAACAATTTAATCACTCGCAAAAAGCACTTTTTTTTTGGTTCTGTTGGGGTTCAGTAGAACAGACTGATCCCGGCCGTAATAAATGGAAACAAGAGCAAAAGGCTTTCATACCCTCTGAGTCTTGAATTGTCGCGATCCATCGTCATCGTGGTTGGCAGAACGCTTCAATGAACCAGAATTAGTGGGTTGCAGCATGCCCAAGACAGCCTGCAAGACCTCCTTCTCGCCTATGCGGACCTGCAAGGCCATCCGGACTCGACGAGCCCCCTCATCCGCGTCACCATTGGAAGGCAACGGCGAAAGTGAAGCCCTAAGTTGGAGGTCCGAGGCCAAAGATGTAGCATATTGCGCTTGTCGCATTTGCAGCGCCTTGACCAAGATAGCAGTCGCATTGGCGTCTAAGACTGGCTTGGGAGCCTTGTCCTTAGACATGCGCTGCTGGAACTCCTCGGGGGAGAGAGTCAACGTAGCCAAAAGAACCACCAGCTCGGCTGGCAGTATGTCTTCCAAAGACGGGTTGGCATTGACGGGTCTGGGAATTACATAGCCGTCCTCGAGGATGTCGAGGCTTGAAAGGAATTCAAGTCGAGGCTGGGACTCGGTGCTTGCATCGGCAAGTCCAGCAGCTTGACAGATATTTTCCAATGATAGCTCAAGTACGTCGTAGATAGCGTAGTTATCGGTCACATAGCCGTATCGGCGGAGGAGATCTGCGCGGGGGATTTCTCCATAATCATTGAAGATTTCTTCGCCTTGTTGAATTGGCTTGATTGCCTTCATGACCAGGGCACCTTCTTCCTGGTAGAGACGGGCCTAATAAAGGAGGGTTAGAATTGGGGTTGAAGAAAAATATCAGGTCCAAACTCACGTTGTTTCGGTCCGCGTCAGCGTTAAGTAGATCCGCGAGCGGGACCATACCCTTAGGCAGCTGCTCCTCCTCTTCGTCATCAGTCATGTAACTCTCATCATTATCATCTCCTTCATCACCATCGTCTTCGGCCTTTTCAATGTCAAAGGCATAGGCCATAATGAGGGAGCCCATGATATGGCACACTTCGATGAGGGCAGCGACACCAGAATCACCCTCCCAAGACGCGAGACCAGAGGGAGGCGGGAACAGATCAGGCCTTTTTGCCAAAACAGGAGCGATAGAATCCTTGATTGACTCTTCGGCGCTCGCCCGACCAATCTTCTCGACAATAGTGCTAGCCTGTAGCTCCTGAAGTTCAGCAGGCGACCAAAACATCAGAGTATCAAAGCGAGTAGGCAAAACTCGGAAATACGGAGCCCATCTCGATTTTTCTCCTTGTAGGTATTCATACAGCATGACTAGCATCAGGGAAAGCCACGGACCCATCTGCTCCTCTAGATTCTCCCCGAGCAGGTTCCTCAGCTCCGAGTTCTGTACGGCAAGGACCATGGCTCGTGGGATGAAGAATAGCTCTTCACCCTCCGGAATGTTGCTTTGTGCCACTAGAAGGCAGGCAATATATTAGAAACCGGTTGTAACAATTATGAAACCCCTCATTTTTGGGTACACTCCGTAGGCAATTTTGTGTGGTTGGGGAATAGATTTTTTAGACACTTACCGACACCACGTCCAGCTCCAGTTGCTCTCAGATCTGCAAGTCTGAGTTTGGGGTTGAGTTGTACACCTGGGCTGGCTTGCAACCATGACATGAAGTTGTCAGACTGTTGTTGAAAGCCCTCGGCATCGGGGAAGTGGGTTGTCGAAGACATGACGGGAGAGAGCCCTTGGGAGGGAAAGGGACAGGAAGTGGAGAGTGAAAAGCGAAGAAACCAATGAAGTGGATACAGTAGGGAAGAAGAAAATAATATGAAGAAGAGGGGAAAGAAGAAGAGAGCCGGGAGTGTATGCAAACTAAAGTCGAGAAGAGTAGCTCGGTTTTAGTTCGGTCAACCGACGGGTGCCGCTTTAAAGGGTTGATAACGATAACGAAAATCATAGCACGCCCGCTCTCAAGCTCTCATACATTGTGTATGATACTATTGACTTCCATCTGATAAAATTTCATTGAATACCTCTAAATAACGCCCATCATGATTGCAATTGGCATGGAAGGCTCTGCCAACAAACTGGGCATCGGCATTATGCTGCATCCTAAGGATGGTAGTCCCCCGCAGGTCCTCGCCAATATCAGACACACCTATGTCTCCCCGCCAGGCGAGGGCTTCCTGCCCAAGGATACAGCACGTCATCACAGATTGTGGGTTGTGAAGCTGGTCAAACAAGCTCTCAAAGAAGCCAAGGTTTCCGTCGACGATGTGGACTGCATTTGCTTCACCAAGGGACCGGGAATGGGTGCCCCGCTACAGAGTGTGGTTATCGCTGCGCGGATGTTGAGTCTGCTTTGGGGAAAAGAACTGGTTGGGGTGAACCACTGTGTTGGACGTATGTATTTATATATACCATGCCTCCTATTTGGAGTTAGAACTCGAATCAAACGCTGACAATGTGAATCTCCAGACATTGAAATGGGTCGTCTCATCACCGGTGCAACAAACCCGGTCGTTCTATACGTCTCCGGTGGTAACACACAAGTCATTGCATACAGCTCGCAGCGGTATCGCATCTTCGGCGAGACCCTCGATATGGCAGTAGGAAACTGTCTAGACCGATTCGCGCGCACATTGCACATCTCCAACGATCCAGCACCGGGATATAACATTGAACAGCTAGCGAAGCAAGGAAAGCAGTTAGTCGATTTACCCTACGTCGTGAAGGGCATGGACTGTTCATTCTCTGGGATCCTGGCTGCGATCGATGGCCTCGCTAAGCAGTGGGGGCTAGGCGGGGAAGAGAAAGCGCGAGAGGATGAGCAGAAAACCATTGATTCTACCACTGCCGCCGACGAGTCATCGGGAAGCAAGCCTACACGCGCAGATTTATGCTTCTCTCTCCAGGAAACTGTCTTTTCAATGCTTGTTGAGATTACTGAGCGCGCAATGGCGCACGTTGGATCGAAGCAGGTTCTTATTGTTGGTGGTGTTGGCTCGAATGAGCGTTTGCAGGAGATGATGGGCATTATGGCACGGGATCGCGGTGGAAGCGTCTATGCGACAGATGAGCGGTTCTGCATCGATAACGGGATTATGATTGCACAGGCAGGTATGCTGGCATATGGGACCGGATTCCGGACCCCTTTGAGCGAGAGTACTTGTACTCAGCGGTTCCGCACGGATGAAGTATTTGTCAAATGGCGAGATTGATATCAATCGATATCTTGTCTGAACCCTAAAAAAATATATCCTATCATGTGTTATGAATTGAGCGAGCCAGATCCGATATCCTTTGAATTCGGTCAGATAAATTTGGAAAAAGTTATTCAACATTCACCACTCATCTCAAGTGGGCTTTCCGAACATCTGTAATATTCTTGCATAATGCCAAGCGCCTGTACAGATGTACGATTTGCTCATGATTAAATCCCAAATCCTCACCCAAACCCCAACACAAAAGTAACGCCAGAGAAAATATGCAATATGTGGTAATCTCACTGAGACGTGTTGTTCAACGCACATTCATGTGTGTCAGTTGCAGTTAATGATTGGGCGATCTAGTAGTTGGATCTAGTTGCCATTATGGACGAGGAACCCAAGAACGTCTGGACAAAGAGGAAGCAGACTGCCAAGGGCCAATGAGTCGAACAAGGCAGGAAGTTGCTTGTAGATCTTTTTATATCCGCAAATCGCACAGACCACAACATGTCCTAGGCAGTATTCGGTAAAAAAATGTATGCATGCAATTGGAAACCGCCTATATGCTTGGGCATAGCTCATTCTGTGATATCGCCAGTTGGTTTGTACAAGATTGTAGTGACATACTGCAGAAAGGAGATTAGTTAATCCACGAAAAAGGTCCAAAGTAGTGACTTACTTTTCTTTTATACCTGGTTGTCACACTTGTAGCCAGGACACCGTTCTTGATACTGCTTGTGGCGAGGTGGTTCAAAACGGTGTGGTTCGGGTAGTTCAAAACACTGCTGTCGTCTTTCATGGGAGTGGTTCCGTTGAGAATTGACTTGCCCAAGAAGAGAGGCAGACTGGGAGGCGTAGCTGTATCTCCAATGACATTGGCGGCCTGGACATAGGCCGGGCTATCTTCTTCCTTATCCAGATCGGCGAGGAATTGAGGAATGGCATCACCGAAATCACCGGACGGTACCTCTTCCTCCCCTTCTTCCTGTTCAAGAGGGTGTCCCTCGTTATCCCCTGGGTGATCCTGCTTAGAGGAATCCGGCACCGTGTGTGGAGTATGAGTTCCTGGCTGAACAGCCGAATCCTTATCATGAGCATCATCTGCACTGATTTCAATGTAATTGACCAGATGATTAGTGAAGTCGACCGCAGTAGGAAGACTATCTGCAGCGCGCATTTCTCCATCGACAATGAATTTCAAGTGATGCGTGCCAGGGCGAAGGTTCAGAGTAGTGGACATAACAGAGGGATTATTTTCGCTACTGAGGGTTAGTCCAGTCCTGGGAATGCCAACCTAGTGATTTAACAGACCTTCTGTGCAGGCGGAACTTCTTCTCCCAGTTAACAAAAGTTCCAGTAACATAGACTTTCGTAGCAGGCGCTGTCCATTCGATAACGACCGGGACGGCCTTGCCGGCGCCACTGATGGTGTATGGTTGGAGCTCATCAAGCAACTCCTCCTCGTCAATGGTTGTATTACCTGAAGCCGCAGTATTTAAGCCCATCTGTTCATCCAAGAGCCGATCTGCGGGGAGCGACTGGATATGCGAGTCCTCAGGGCCGGCGACAGGCGAGCCGGGCGTAGTGTTCGCATCACCAATCGGCAATGGCAAGCGCGGCGGGCGTTGTAGGTGAGCCGATGCGCTATAGTACGAGTTGACGGGCGGGGCCGATGGTGCCACAGGATCGCGGCCCGGGGCATGGCGCGAGGTCGGGACCTGAACCGGGTTGGAGTGGTCGCGAGTTGGGATGTCCTTGATCGGGGAGGGCTCAACTCGACGTGCATCGTGTTGCGGAGTTTTCTCTGTGCTCTTGGGTAAAGATTCAGGGATATTTCGCGATTGTAGGCGCTCCTGCACGGATCCTTGGTATCCTGCCGATTGCCCAGCGGCTGTCTCCTTTGTGGCTGAAGGGTCGGCCACGGGGGCCTTGGGCGCTGAGATCGCATTAAGGGAGGATCGACGGGCGACTTTTCGGTCACTTGTAGAGCCGTGGTGGGCATGGGCCGGCGGCGCGTCGCTCACCGGGCCTTTGGAAGGGTTATTGCCCATCGAAGGCGGGGAAAGATATGATGACTTTAGGCCGAGTTTTTGCTGGGAGTTGGGGAAAGAGGAGCGTCAAATTGAATTAAAATGGCGAGCTGAAGAAAGACACTTCCGATGCCAGCTCAAAGTAATGATTGGCGGTGGGTGATAATCAAAGTCGTTTGATGTACTCACTTTGTCAACTTACAGTCGACGCCGATGACGCCGGAAGCCTAATCCGGTAATATAGGGCTTAGGGTTTGGTAGCTAGACCGCGGCGCGTGTTACTTGGATATCATAACAGAGTTGAGATGCATAGATTGGTTTGTTACGTACTATCTGCATAATAATCATGGGCTGGGCATCGATTCTAACATATCCTCTGTCATTTGTCCTTGCTTTTACAATCCGATTGCTGTCTTATTTGTTGTCAATCCTTCTCTTCCTCGCATCGCCAGTGATCTATATTGGACATGTCGTCTTATACCTGGCTCTGCTTCCGTTGCGTATCCTCGTTATATTAGAGGTAAGTTGTGAGACAGGCATCTATGCTATCTTATCTCTTCATATCGTAGCTCTTTGGTGGTAGCATTCACTAAGCTCTAATAGGCATTCCTCTATTTCATGACAGGGGCCGTGTTAGTCGGAGCCACTATAGGGATGATCCTACATTTTACCGGCAGTACCATATCACAGTTCCTGCAAATTGAAGAGTCAGATGAACCACGGCGGCCTCGTGTGAAACAGGAGCTTCTGGATTCCGAACCCCAGAATCCATCCTTCGACTATCTAGAAGTGCAGATGGAGGATCGCAAGTTCCTGCCCTACTCGACGATCTTGGAGGAAGAAGAGAATAGCCATGAGTCAGGTTGATGTACAGATACCTCTCGGTGAATTCTAGTGCATAATATTATAATAAGATGCAACTGAGCCTGCCATCTGTGGCGGGCGAGACATAAACTTGTCATTAAACCACCAAGAACTCTACTAGGCAATGGAGGCGACCTATCTGATGTTTGCATGACATTATAGCTCATTTGAGATAGAAATGTCTACCAATGCACCGATTGAGCAGTCCGGTGGACCAGGGCCCCATATTGCCTAATTGGGCCACATATGCGACCCAGCCAATCACATCGTCCATATCTAGTCCTAAGGTACGATGTATATAACGTCTTCAAAACCAGTCATTCAAGTTTAAAAATCATTTATCCTGTTCTTATTGCTCAACCTCCTTCTTTGCAATACTAAGTGAAGCCTATGATGGTCCGAATTAACGCATTTGCCGTGGAGCAAGTAACCAACCCTCAAGCCCCATTCCACAACCTATGTACCTACACACAGAAACTAATATCCAAAAGTGGATGGATCTGTATGAAACAAGCGCAAAGCATAACCTCGCCGAAACGTGCTGCGCGTCCATCTCCCTCAACGACCTGTTAGCCCTATCCCCGAAAAAGGATCTGGTAGACTACACGCAGAAGCAAGTCTACGGCGCTATCCGGGGATCTGAGGCTCTGAGGACCAACATCGCGAACCTGTATTCGCAATCTGAATCTACCGAAGCCAGCCCAGTGTCTGCTGATCGAGTCCTTGTCACAAACGGTGCCATCCAGGCTAATTTCCTGGCGCTGTATACTCACGTCGGGCCGGAGGATCATGTTATTTGTCAGTATCCGACATATCAACAATTATACTCTGTCCCCGAGTCTTTTGGGGCGGAGGTCAGTCTGTGGCGGTCGGATGAGGGAAATGGATGGGGGATGGATTTAGGGAAGTTGAGGTGTTTGATTCGGCCGAACACGAGGATGATTATTTTGAAGTATATATGGCTTTTTTTTAACGTATTGACTGGGTGTTTACTGACTGGAGTCTATAGCAACCCCCAGAATCCAACTGGGGCGATTCTTCGTCGTGAAGAATTGCAGGGGATTGTTGATATCGCGCGCGAACATGGTATCCTGATTCATTCTGATGAGGTTTATCGACCCCTGTTTCATTCTCTTGACTGTGGTCAAGAGGTTCCACCGTCTATTCTTGAATTTGAGTATGAGAATGTCATTGCCACGGGTTCCATGTCAAAAGCTTTCAGCTTGGCCGGGATCCGATTGGGTTGGATCGCTTCGCTTAATGCTGAGATTATTGAAGCATGTGCCTCTGCTCGTGACTACACACTCATTTCGGTTAGTCAAATCGATGATAGTGTGGCGACTCATGCGTTGTCTAGTCCATGCGTGGAAACCCTATTGCGACGCAATATTCGCCTGTCTCAGCAGAATCTCGATGCCCTTGAGGCGTTCATTGAAGAGTACAGCTGGGCTATGAAGTGGACAAAGCCAAAGGCTGGAACAACTGCGTTCATAAAATTTGTTGACAGGGAAGGGAGGGCAATTGATGATGTCGTGTTCTGCCGGCGACTCCAGGAAATGACTGGGGTGATGCTTGTTCCTGGAAGTCAATGCTTTGGGGGTGGGGTGGACTTCCGCGGATATGTGAGACTGGGCTATGTCCAGGATAGCCATGTGATATTTGATGGATTGAACGCCTCGAGACAGTTTATGCGCGATGAATATGAAAAGCTGCCGCTGGCTTGCTGAGATCACCTAGAATAGGACCAATTCCAATCCAAGATTCGCAAAATACATGTCCCAGGACAAGGATGTCTCGGATGCCCAGAATTTACTCAAAAACTCTCGTGCTCTTGTGAAATTTCCCATCCCAAGATTTTGCATGTCGCCCATCCGGTTGTGGATAAACTCACGCTCCTTGGTATCATTGGTTTCACAGCCAACACTGAACATGGGCCAAAGGATCAATATATTCGCAGAAGAAAACGGCGGGATGTCTTTCACTGCGGCTATGATTCTCCGGATATCCTCTTTGACCGTCTCATGGTTTCTTTGGAGTGTTTGAACTCGCCGGTGGAGGTGTAATAAAGCAGAATGTATAAAGGCAAGATGCGTACTCTGCAGCTCAATGGAATCTCCACCGGAGACACTGCACTCAACAAGGGAAATAATCTCAGTCTCAAGCCTCCGACCTTCTGCCAAGACGTTCTGTTGCATTCCAGCCCCAGTGTGACATTTTTGTTGTACCAATTGGGACAGGTGTGCAAGTAACGGAGCCAACTTCAGGGAGTATCCACATATATCGTCGACATTACGGTTCAGCAGATCAAAAGATCTATCCAGTAGCCTAGTATCAGAGCTCATCATACCAGTAGTACTCAATCCCGATAATCCCGCGAGAACATCCATTGTTGTGAACCATTTGACCAAACATTGAATGTAAGGATCAGTGATGCGCAGTGTTCCTTGACTATCCAAAAAGACATTCAAAAGACGCATTACCCCATCAAGATGAGTTTTCCATGCCTGCATATTACCATTGCACACATCATTGGTACACAGAGCCATCGCCGTTGTGACAGTCTCAGCGGTCAGTGTTGCACTCGTCTCACTAAGAGCCGAGCGGAGACAGGAAATTGACAAGTTCGTAAACCTCAAGCAGGATACCCTCGACCTTGGTCCTGTATTTTGGACAAGTCGGCTGTGGTGACTGCAGGCAGATGCGAGGAGAGCATAGAGAAGATGCGGTGTCTCGAGGGAGCTTGTAATGATTCTTTGTAGGAAGAGCGCCGGGGCTGCGGGAAACAGCCGCGGCGCGGTTTCGGTGTTAAATATGTGCATGAAAAATTGAGATTCTTTCGACGATAGAAGTGGTGACAGGTTTAGAACAGGCTGGTGAGCGATAGGGATTAGGCTCTGGTTAACGCTCTCATTGCGACGATTCGCTTCACTTGGCCTTGTGTGAGTGACTATATTCTGGTTGATGATATTGATATTATATTTGCACTCTTTAGGAAAGCGGATGCAGCGCGAGCAGACAGGTTTCGTCAGGTCACACTGGAAATTGATATTAGCGATGTTTAGTTGGCTAGTAAGAAGATCTTTACCTTGACTTTTTTGCGTCGACATTCTGTGCAGCCATCTCGCCTTCTTTGGAGAATGGAGCTATCTTTACCAATACAATGGCTTGTCATAGCTAATCGAATTTATGATAAATGTATATTAGTGGGTAATATGGAGAAGAAGTAGAGAATACGAGAAAAATTGGGGTAAGAGAGCAGGTAGTTCCCACAATTTCCCGAGCTAAGTAACCGATCCAGTCGTTGCGGCATTGCTATCACTTGGATTGTTTAAATATTCTTAAATATTATGATCTTCCGATATAAAGGTACATACAAAAATAGTAGCTTATGAAGCCTTGTGTCTTTTTTAGAAAGTCTTTTTTTGGAATGTTAGTGTTAACTATATTGTACGAGGATGAAAATATACATCTAGCCCCAAAATAAAGACAACGATTTACTTCCAATTTCTCAGGACTTAGATTTTGCAACTCTCAATCAATCTAAACCCTCACAGTCACCATGTATCTAAACGTCTCCATAGACCTCTCCTGACCTTTACCTATGTAGGTATGTAGGTATGTAGGTACTTGTATGTCTTGTAACCACGTTAATAGGAGCCACAAAGGCCTTGGCCTGTGATATGTGAATATGACCTCAACACGGAGACCTGGTCTTGCGAATCGATGGATATTGCATAGGGCAACGCCTGTATCTTATATCAAACCTGTCATTATTATTCTCTTGGAATTCCATAGTTTCATTATCAGATATCTGGCACACTATCCTCTATGGTACACATTATTTCTCCACACCAAACTGTCAAAACATCTTCCGAATTTTTCTTTTGTCTGGCGCCGTTACCTTCCCCTAGGCATTATGATACTTCTGTGAGCTGCCGTCCGCTCAGTTCAAATATTTTATTCACATAAGTTGATCAAGACCCCCAGATTTTAATACACACCATATTTCTGACTAACCTAAAGGTGTGGCTGAGCTTCTTAGAAACTGTCCATTCCCAGGATTCAGCAGCTTAGATACCACTGGAATCGACAGCCGCTAAAAGTAGAGACAATCACTGGCAGGTCATATTGAGCTCTGGGCTTGCTGTAGATTTTCCTCACTCTGCAGGCAGCTGCATTCAGTGAGTATTATGCGTCCAAGGTAGAGGGATGTTTGAGGGATCTGGCAGGGCTAATATAATCAATTCTATGAGTCCGCGAGGGACTAACGAGATGATTGTTTTCGCCGCACCCTTGTTTAGCGAGAGATGGCTGGTAGTCTGGCGCATTTGGATCGCCTACCTCTCCCATAGCTTCGGGAGGGCTGCCGATGAGATACTAAAGGCGGCAAACCCCCCGTCCAGATACTATACCCGTGGACGGCGGCTTCAATCATGACTGATCGGGCGATCTCGCTCTCGGATAAATATGCAGATTGGGGTATGAGCCGGAAGAAATTCCGTTTGGGGTAATGCCAAGCAGCAACCTTGCAGATGGAGCCCCCAAATTTCTTTATTAAGCGGAAGTTACGGAACTTTTTATACTCCATATAGACAGTGTGGATCAGACTTGTATCTATAGAGGTTGATACATGATACATCGTTCGTACAACGTTCATATCTCCAAGTGTGGAGAGATTAATTAACTGCATAGACAGGCTTACAATTATTTCCTTCTGACATAACTTTGACTGCATCAATGTCTTGGCAAAAAAATCCCTCTTAAACATACATTACAGTATATGTACTGCGTAGTTCCATCTGTATTATTTCAACATCTTGCAACCATCCAGGATGACCCCACATCGGATGCACAGGGTCAATGACTTCCGGCCGCCAAGTCCCCCTCACTGGCTGACCGGCTGCCACAAGCCTACGTTCTCATGTGCAAAAAGGTCCAGAGTCCTAGGAGCCCGGCCTGTCACCTTCTCCACAGCAGCATCCATACGAGTTTCCGATCCTGTGGATGCCGCAGCTTCCAAATCCGCCAGGAACCGAGCGTAGTAGTCAGGGAGCCCAGCGCTGACGAGGCCTTCGTATCGCTGGTCCACAGAGAGCTTAACATGCTCGATAGGGCGACCCAGCGCTGCGGAGAGTTTCTCGGCAACCTCGTCGTAGGTTAGCAACTCCGGTCCTAGCACGCGGTGGTCGCAGTTATGCGATTGGGAGTCTGTGATAGCCCGGAAGGCGACTGCGGCAATATCAATGGCACCCACGAAGGGAATTTTCCCATCGCCGCAGGCCGTGTAGATTTTGCCCTGATCCCGGATGACACTGCTCACACCCTCCTCGGAGAGATTTTCTACAGGTTGAAGTGAGCTAGCGCTCTAAAAGACCATTTAGAGATTCTGAGCTAGATAACATACCCATAAACCAACTAGGCCGAAGCACACAGTAGTCGACTCCAGTGTCCAAAAAGTGCTGCCATACCATCCCCACGCCCGGCTGCGACGGCTCGGTGGAGCTGCCAGCAACCAGTACAAATCTTTTGACCCCATGTTCCTTACGCGCATAGTCAATAAATTCGTTCATAGGCTTCCAGGGTTCGGCGACCAGCGGTTGCATAAGATAGATGGCCGAGATAGTCCCGCCCCCGGCAAAGCGGTATTGGAAGGGTTCTTTCCAGGTGGATTGGTCCATCCAGTCGAATTTGACAGCTGGCATGCCAGAGGGAGCGGCGGAGGAACTGCGACGAGAGGCTAGCAGGAAGGGAATGTTCTCATTTTGAAGGAAGCGGGCTAGGCGGACTGAGGTCTTGCCAGTGCCGCCGGTAAGAAGGACATGCATCTTTTATGTGATTTTTGTGTGTGTTGGGGACTATGAGAGAGGAAATGAGGAGTGATGTATGTAGGGCTCTGGAGTAGGTTTACCGGCAGTATAATATATGTATTTATATGTACCGGATTTTCCTTGGCGGGTGGGGTTTTCCTATTTGGGTTCTCGCCGTTTTAATAAAGAATCTCAGGCTCAGGCTTTCAGATTATATATCAGCACGAGCTCAAACTAGGATATTACCGAAAGAGAGCGAGTGTATTGTTTCGCGTTTTCACTGCCAATACACTACATATACAATTGACCCTCAATAAATTATACTATATCCCTAGGAGATTCAACCTGTATCCTGAGATACGCCTACGGCAGTCTGTTAGGACCCTGGCGCCGACAAGAGTATTCCGCTTACCTTTTCGGTCGACACCTTAGGGTGTTGGTCTGCTTCCTTGCGTTTCTCATTTCTACCAGTACATGTATTATAGCCTCTAAGATGCCTATAAAGAGTAGCTAGTACGAAAAAATGAACGACTACTGTCTCTACCTGATTTTATGAGGAATAGGAAGACTTGAGAAATAATAAAAGTAAAAATACGACAAAAGACCAGTAGAAAGATGTTTGAAGGGTATTGAGTAAAAGGAAATTCGAGGGAGGAATATAAGTATTGCTAGGCTTCTAATGTGGCTTAGGTGACTGAGATAGTTTGACAAGTTTATGCCAGGCAGTATACTTTGTACCTTGCCCCTGTTGGCGCGGTGGTCCTCTAGAAACTCCCATATACGCCAAGAAAGGCCCGCCCCGCCCCTCCACTTTTCTCGGCATATGACGAGATCCCGCCAAGTCTAATCCGGAACAGACTGATGACGGAGGCCAAGAGTCAAATATCGAAATCGTCGCTACATCATTTTTTTTTTTTTGCAAACTGAGTTACTTGGAATTCGTCCAGGCAACCACGTTGATCTGCTGTACTTTGTCGTATTTAACCCGACATCTCCCTAAAAGACAAATTAGATTTTCTACCAAAACCATACCAACACTCGCACAGCATGGATAAGATCTACAAGCCCACGGAATCGGCGCCCATTGTACGCATAATGGTCTTAGAGACCGACATACCTCACCCAGACACATACTCGGCCCGCGGCTCCTTCGGCCAGATACTCTATACCCACTTCGCCAAAGCCGGACGCGCCCACCATCCACCTCTAGCCGTAGAGACAGATCAAGTCTTCGTGGTGACCGAAAAAGGTGGCCGAATGCCAACTGTGGATGATTTCGACCGCTTCGACGGCCTCCTTATCACGGGGAGCATCTACGATGCCCACGCGAATAACGAATGGATCTTACAGCTACTAGACCTCCTGAAAACCCTCTGGATCAACCGCCCCGACTTCCGCTTTGTGGGCGTCTGCTTCGGCCACCAGCTCCTTGCCCGCCTTCTCGGCGGTTCTGTTGCGCCTGCGCCCTCGCAGGATTGGGAACTCGGTCACTGTCGCATCACGCTTACGCCCGTTGGACAGCGTCTCTTCCGTACGCGCGACGACCACATTCATCTCCATCAGATGCATCAGGACCAGGTCGTCGCGCCGCCTACTTCCGCGTCCGCGGGAACAGACATGCTCGCCCCGAATACGGAGGTTGCTTGCTGGGGCCGTAGTGAGCATACACCGGTTCAGGGCTTGTATATCCCGAACCGGCTATTCACTACGCAGGCGCATTTGGCCTTCGACGAGGATATGGTCAAGCGACAGATCCAGATCAGGGTTGATCGCGGCGGGATACAAGACCTCGAACATGCAGACCGGGCGGCTGAGACGGCGCATCTAGAGCATGACGGTGTTGAAGTTGCTAAGGCTGTACTGCGATTGTTTGCATATGACAATGACGAATGAGCGAGCACTCTGATCCCACTCTGTGAGCGAATCAAGCCGTTTATATGATGATCAATGAGTGGATCAGATTGCCCATGTGATAACTAGTCAGGTGCTGCTTGGTCAGCTTGTTAATGATCTCGGGGCAGGCCTCGACTGTTCAGAGGCGTGCCTCAATTTTACTCCGAAATCCAAAAGCAGCAAGAGGGGAGCACTAAAATGGGAGGGGAAAGGTCCCGAGTGCCCCGCATTATCCTGTGCATGTAAATAAAGTACATAACTATGTATGCATTATGTTTTAAACAATACTGTCTAATGGCTGTCAGGGTTAAGACATGCCTAAATCCGACTTGAGATTATCCATGAGACTAACTACATGTATCCATGGAAGTATATAGGACTGTGGGACCTAAGCCTGTTGATTGCTGGGATCTCAAACCCCGAGTCTGGATCGGCATACTGTGGTTTTCTATCTGGACTAAGATTGCGTGGTTTAGTATCTACTCCAATCAGTGCCTTTTTATATTAGCTAAAGTGTTTTGAGGACTCCAGGGCTGGGCCCTGTTGATTGAACACCTGGCAGGCTTGCGCTTTGGGGGATTTCCTACCAAGAACAAGAACCATCATAGCTGAGTACTTCCCATTGCCCCTTCTCAATTTGAATATTGTATCCCAGTATCATTATCTTTTCAGTAGGCAACGGGTTAGGCGTTGAAGTGAATCCCGGTCATCCCGAAGCATCAATAGAACAGGACGTCGAATTGCGGTTCAGTTCGTAAATCGAAAGTAATTTATGGATAACATGGCATCAAAACAGCAAGAAATTGCATGATCTAATATCCTCATATTATGATTGCTATGTGGTCAATTGGCCCTAACTGGGGAACCGGACACCTCTTGTCTTCTGGAAGCTCTCAAGCAGCTTTTACGTCAACATTATATACAGCAATCTCGCCTTGCTTGAGAAACGGAGCCATCTTTGCCACGCCGATAACCCAGCATAATCAAATTCATGATGAATGTAGATGTTGTGGAGAAGAGAAGTATACAATATAGAGAAGAAGAAGCCGGGGAAGAGTAGTTCCCGCAATTTCCTCAAGTACCTGATCCAGTCATATTGCGGCATTTTGAATTGTTTAAATATTCTTAAATCTTACGATCTTCCGATATGAAGAATAGTCACTTATACGGCCCTGACATGTGTTTTTTTTTTTGGTACTTTTTGGCACCTTTTTGAGATGTTTTTTTTGGACGCTCTTGAGATGTCTTCTCAGATACCTTTTTTAATATGCCGTTCTGAGTACAGTTTTTTTCAATGTCACCATTATAACCAGAAGGGTGAAAATAGATGGCTCTTGGCTACATTAATAAAAACTGAAAAGGTCATGGGCTGTGATATATATGTGTCAGTTTACCATGTACATATGTACAGAAATGTAACAGCCTGGTGAGCCCACCTATACCCCCTGCTAGAGGTCGCCCTACTTTTAAAATAGATTGGGTCTCACTGCATAGTCAGAAGCACACGCCAAGTACTTCTTGGCTACAGGACTGCTGTCTGGTCTTCTACTTAAACATCATCATAGCATTACATCCTGATCTTATTTTTCAAGGAAGATCTTCAAATTATCTTTCCCAGTTTCTTATTTTTCAGCCATGTCATCCGACTCGAAGACACGGTCCAAGTATATCTACAAAATACTACGGTGTATTCAACACCTCCCTAACTCTTGCTAACATTCAAACAGGTCAATCTTCGCACAGCCGCCAGTCAAGATCATTGTGGGCAGCGACGAGCGTGTTTACTACGTCCACCGTGGAACGATTGAGGTCCACCCCGCATTCGATGCCCAACTAAAGGCGTCGACTAACAAATACGAGGAGACGATTGATTGGTCCGGTTTTGACGAGCAGACCATTGATTGCGTATTGAGCTTCCTTTATACTGGAGGCTATCGGGCACATCAAGCGATCTCTGTGGCAGTTCAGGAAAATGCGGCAGATGCGGGGCAAGAGGCCCAAACGCAAGACAGAGAAGAAGAACAAGAAGTAGTAGTAGATGAGGCAGTGGAGGCGGATGAAGAAGACGGTAATAAAATCACCTCTTACATTATCCCATCTCATTATCAAAATGAATGAGACACTGATACCAAATCAACCAATACAGAACCAGCAACACCAGGCGCAAGGTCACCATCGCATGCTTCATGGCCACTGTCCCCACCTTCAAGATCCCCTCCACCACCTCAAAGTCCACAGTCACAGACTTCATGGCCACATGAACCATATCCAATGTTTCCTGCACCTGCAAGGCCAGCGCCACTAGTTGCAGATGTGTCCATAGCCCCAGACTCGCCACTTTCCCAGGCCCTATCAGATTTTGACATAAATGACAGACCCCTGACGCCTTTGGAATTCTGCGATGGGGTCACTCTGACCACGGAGGGACAAAAGATCCCCGGCCACGAAAGACAAGACGAAGATGAAGATGAAGAGCCGGAACAAGAAGCCGAAGGAAACAACTCTGCCGAGATTTATCTCCATTCCAAGGTCTATTCCTTCGCACATCAACTTAATTTTGCGAAATTGGAGCAGTTTTCTCTGAACCGGCTGGCTCAGCTTCTCGTCACCCTGGAGCAAACAGACAAGGACCTATTCCCATATTTGGTGGATGCAATCCGACTGATCTATAAAACAACCAGTCCTATTGATGATGCGAGAAACTTGTTATCTCAGTTTGTCGCATTACGATATACCACGTTGGTTGGTGAGAATCTAGACGAACTTATCACAGAGGGGGGAGAGTTTGTGGTAGATTTGTCGCATAAGCTTGCTCGCAAGCTGATGACTATGTCAGCGGCATTTAAGAGGATTGAATATCTTATTCAGAAGAATGAGGAGTTGAAAGCAGAAAGTGCAGAGAAAGATACAGAGCTGAAGGCTCTGAGAGAGGAGGCTAGGCCACATGCACATGGGTTTCCGGCTTTCACATATCAGATTTGAATTTGACATATAAACCAATACCTAGGTACAGTACACAACCACCGTTAATGAATTATTGATCGAGCTTTTGTTTATTTTCTCAGATCTCTAGTTGTAGGCAATTCATGTGTAATACATCGATAGACAGCTGTATATATTTAGTATAGAGGCTTATGGTTGTCGAGACAAAAGGGCCTGTGCAACCAAGGGATGATAGCTAATTTCCCCATCTTACATACTAGAAATATCCTTCATTGACTTTGACTTTGACTATATATGACTTGCAATAGCTCAACGGTTCACAGTACGGGTACCTGACTATCGACGTCATTACCGCGATCGTCGATGTTAGCGTCTGACCAAGCTTCTGTGGGGGGTAAACAGTACATAGATCTCTCCTGCCAAATTCCACGATGATCCCGCTAATCCCGCGATCCTTTCTGCGCGTACGAACGCTTTTAGCAGCCTTGATACTTGCTATTTTCCTCACTTGGGCAATCTTGAGACAGTCCAAAGCCTACATCCCAAATCCCAGCGATCCTTCGTCTCCGCAGGCCATCTCCACAGACCTGACACCCTCACATCAAAAATTCTGGCGGGAATTCCACGCCCTGTTAGAGAAATATGCGCCGGACACAGAGCCTATCATTGAATATGAGAAGGCATCGACAGAAGGGTTCAACGCTCACAATGCACCACCGCGTCCAGATACTCTCTATGTTCCGGAGGAAGACATCACATCCATGAAAGAAGCGCATACTGGGTTCGTCAATGCAATCACCGACTCCTCGCCCAAGCTTCCCTACATCCCCGGCACAAAAGGCATAGTCTCAACAGCGGGGGGATTCTACCTCCCAGTGCTAGTGATATCCCTCCGCATGCTCCGCCGAACTGGCTCCACGCTCCCGATGGAGGTCTTCCTCTCTGACGAAGACGAGTACGAAAAATACATATGCGATGAAGTCCTACCATCACTAAACGCGCGGTGCATAGTTCTCTCCCGCATCCTCATCGCCGCCCCAGCCCGAATTCAGAAATACCAGTTCAAGCCCTTCGCAATGCTCTTCTCGTCTTTCGAAGAAATCCTCTTCCTAGACGCAGACGCCTTCCCCCTCGAGAAACCGGAGCATCTCTTCACTGCAGAGCCCTTCCTTTCAAAAGGCATGGTCACCTGGCCCGATTTCTGGGCCTCCTCTGTCTCCCAGGTCTTCTATGACATCGCAAACTACCCACCCCCACCAATGGACCTGCGCCAATCAACAGAATCAGGCGAAGTCCTTCTCTCAAAAAGATCACATCTCAACTCTCTCCTCCTAACCACCTACTACAATTATCACGGCCCCTCACACTATTACCCGCTCCTCTCACAAGGCGCCGCCGGCGAAGGCGATAAGGAGACTTTCGTCGCAGCCGCAACCGCCATGCGCGAATCATTCTACCAAGTCAGCGAGTCTATCTGTGCTCTCGGCCACCAAACTACCAACGGCGGTATAGCCGGCTCCGCAATGGCGCAGTTCGATCCCGTACAGGACTTCGCCCTGACTAGTCGCGAGGTATGGCGCATCAAAGGCGATGACGCCCCGGCTCCAGATGTTTTCTTCATCCACGCCAACTTTCCCAAGTTCAACCCCGCCACCATATTCGAGCCCCACGAGGTTAATCCCACGTTTACAGATGAGGGCACCTATACACGGGCCTGGACACTGCCGGTGAATGTTGTACAGGGGCTCAATAGCAGGATTGATGTCGAGAAGGGATTTTGGCAGGAAATTCTTTGGACGGCTTGTGAGCTTGAGGATAAGTTTCAGAGTTGGACTGCGTATGAGGGGATTTGTGATAGTGTGAGGGATTATTGGCACACTGTCTTTCGGGAGGATTGATTGTACGTTTGAGTTGCTGGTCGACTATACTGCATGACAAATTGAAATATTGCCCCATACTGGTATTATTGGTCTCTATATGTGTCTTCTCCGGAACGAATAACCAGTATTCTTCCTCTTGGTTGCTGGGTTCGTTTGCATTGTGTCTTGTGCATGGCAGTGGAGGAACAAACATGGAATAATGCACTCGTATCTTGCATTCCGGTTCACATATCCCCTCGCCAGAGTGGTGGGCTTGGTCCGTCACAGCAATAATTTCTATACGGAAGGCCCTCCTGTCGAAAAGCTAGTCCAAAAAGACTGCCTAATAGAGTACTAAAGAGGAGAGTACCAAATTACGAGAAATCTATCTAATCTCTCCGACGTTGCGTCCTACCACCCCATCTTGATGAATCCAGACGGCAATGAGTTTGGTTCCCAAGATCCAATAGGCTGGTCATCAAATTCGATCTCATAGATGTATACCAAGGCCGAAGTCATCCTGGTTTATTTGCCTCCGTACTTGTCGAAATTCAATTAAAAAGAGTCTTTTTGTTTCTTTCTCTTTCTTCTTATCCGAGACAGTGGAAGCTATTGACATCATGTATCTATAGATACGACGAGAGTAGTTTCTACTATGGTCTGTATAGACTTTAAAATGCAAGATGTAATGTAAGTTGAGACGGCTATTCAATTCTCATTCGCATCTTTTAGTTGAATTATTTATCTTGGTCCTTCTCATCGGGTCCAAGAATTAGCCCGATATGGCCTCGACAAGATGCTAATAGCGTTGATATTTATGCGTTAGGTTTGGATATATAAAACTTCCGGCAAAGTAGTATTGGTATAGCTCATCACTGCTATATGTATACAGATATTACGAAAGGCTGTCTGAATTATGACTGCTGCTAGCTGCAATATACCCCAGCCTTGGAGAACACCGTCTTGTAGCCGTTTGCTGAGATACCGTGTAGCCTGTGAATTTGGCCTTGGATCTTACACACGGTGCATCCCTTCGCTCCTTCCAGCCCTAAGTATGGATTGAAGGTGTCTATGCGTATAGTCTGCGGATTGCACTTCCAAGGGTTTCGTAGGGAATGCGATAAAATTCGGCAAGGGCGACAAGCTGACTCGACCTGAAGGGAAAGAATGGAAAGAACAGACATATATATATACACACATATGTACACAGTACCTTGACTAGGTGCTACCTTGAGGAAAGAGCGATGAAGCCTACATCTACCTAATTTTAGTTTCACCTATTGCCAATCTATTGCCCTTTGATTTCCAACGGCTGCTACTATGGACAGGGTCTCTGGATTCTGTGCTGGGGAATACAGAGGGAATAATATATAACACGGATAAATGAGAAGCAAATTGGATCATGGCGTTCAATATTGGCCTGCATCTCCAGGCTAGTCCAAGCCTAACTGGTTGTTTGTCGGGAAATCTTGGAATGTTCTTCTCAGTTCTTTCGCTTTTGCTTTAAATTTGCCTTCACACCTTCACACCTTCGCTTCATCTTTATCTTCATCTTCATCCAAAGAGTACACTTCTTCCACGAAGGCCTTAGTAGCATGTTATATATGGAGAAGCCTTTGGCACTATGCAAGAATAGTCAGTTGCGTTTACGGCTTTTCTTGTCTTTTCTCTTACCCATTTCTCATTATGGTGCTAGGTATTTTGAATACTATGAATCTATCAGTGTTCACCCGCCAGCCACTAACTCATATTAGTATACATACACAGAGCCATTCCAGCCAAGCGATCGGCCGCATCGAGAAAAAGAACCGCGAATCGACGATATGTGAGGGTTAGAGCTCAGTTCTAGCCTTCCAATATCATATCCCCCAGGGCTATGTGACTTGCCCTCAAGACTAGGGTACATTGCAGTCATGGAAAAAGGAGTGCTTGTAATTATGGAGAAGATCCTTATTGTGCGGTGCGAGAGAGGCGGACTAGAGACGGAGATATTTACTGTGATATAGGCCAGAGAAACTTGCTTTATGACTTGCAAGCAAAGAAGAAGCCTCCTCTATATCCCGAAAAACAGGCTTCGGGCCAGCTGATTTTCGCTTGATCGAGGTCTTGAATTCCTTGTTTTATCACTTAGGCAAAGGGAAATATGATTACTCTGAGGATATCAGTTCCATGCGCTGACGAACAAAACAGAGCTTCAGACTTCACCAGCCACTGCGACAAAATAGCACCGGCTGACGTCCAACTGTCTGACCCGCTAGTCTTTCTGAGAATATGCAAAAGATATGCTTAGGGGGAAAATGAACTACCAACAGCCTAACAATTTCAACACCAGCGGCGAAATATACCCAGATCGATGGCCGATAGGAGGAGACATCGTGGTATGGGCCTTTGGATTGCCATTCCTCGCCGTCTTTAGCCCTTATTCCGCTCTGACTGGTGCAGAACTCTGATACTACCTGTGGTCACTGGACAAGAAGCACAAGCACAACAGCCTCACGAGCCACACTATTCACCTTCGGTGAAGTGGTCTTCCCATTGGTGTACCTCGGAGCGAGGACACTGCAAATGGACTGGGATATTCATGACTGGAAGGCGTACAAACAACAGCCGACGATAGGCAGATTTTCAACTGATCTGGTGGTGACATACGGGGAAAGATTCCCTGATCCTGATTACGATTCCCCGCATTGTGGGCTTCTACCTACACAACGGCGTTGAAATGAAACCCCTTTCCTTCCCGAAATTATTACATCCTAATACCTTATCAATATAACTTGAACTGTATTCCTTAATGCTACTATAGAGGAAGTGTGGTAGTTTACGGTGGATATAATAGATAGTGGTGACTAGGATAAAGATATAGACTCATCAGAGTAGCTAGAGGGACGTTTTCAAGACACTAGATAGGTTAGGTATAATAAACCGGCCTATATATACAAGAAGCAATAGGAAGAGGATATATTTACTGAAAATTTAAGATAATAAATATAGACCAAGCGTAGTAGTACATATTCATAGAATAGAGCTATTCGTACTCCGCAAACGTATCTGTAAAGAACGTAAGTCGCTTTCGGCTTCTCTGTACCTTAATTATATATATCCTACTCCTCGTACTCCCTTTAGAAGCATGATTGGGTCATCCAATGACTTCCTCCAGGTAATAATACGAGCTTCTTGATCTTCTCTCTTCGCCAGTTGACGATGCATGCAGCCGTATTCAATACAAATAGGGCGCTAGGTAATATGCAAGGTAATATGCGAGGTAATGCGCTATCTAATATGAGCGCAACAGCTGCATCTGCTATCCTAATAAGCTACATATGCCGCATGTTATAAGATACAAGAATAGACTATAGAGCGATATTAAACCCCACCTCGTGTTCAACCATGTGGATACTTGGGCCCAGGAATCCGGTAAACTCCCGGGAGGCGCTCTTGGCACAACTTAGGGCCTGTTTACTTAACCAGCCTGATATGTAGGAGCCAAAAATTCCAAACATCGCTTCCTTGATATATAGTATACAGTATACAGAGCTTATAGTACATAGCCACATCCAAAATTCATCTACTCCACCTTCAACCCATTCCGCTTCGCCGTCTCAACAGCCTCAATAAACAAAGCTTTACAAGGCACCGAGCTACCAAGTCTCGCACAAAGCAAGAAAGCTCCACTCAACTTTCGATGCAGCGAGTACGTCTCCTCAGGCGGTGGCGCCAGTCTCTCCCGAATCATAACCGGAATAAACTCGCGCACGCGGTCCGTGATCGTCTGATTACTGAAGTCATACAGATCCGGCGAGGAAAGCATGAACGGCTCTGCTATCGTTGTGATCGAGCTCACGTGCGCGTCGACCATCGCCTGCGATTCCATTCCTGTCAGGTATCCTAGCTCGATGGAGAGTTCATGGCAGGTTTTGCGGTCATTGCGGGAGGCGGCGATTAGCGTGCGCACGTAAGTCGTTATGAACTCTTCGGGGTAGGCGCGGGAGGCGCCGAAGTCGAGGAGTTCGAGTTTGTTCGTTGCGGCATTGTAGAGGAAGTTTGTCCAATTCGGGTCGGTCTGCATGTAGTGGAATTCGGCGATCTCGCGGAGGCAGAGGCGCATTATTTGGGTGCCGATCCAGTCACGTTGTGTTTGGGTGAAGTCCGCTACTTTGGTTACGGCTACGCCGTCTAGCATTTCCATTGTTAGGACTTGTTTGCCTGAGGCGTGGGCAATTATCTCTGGAACGATGAAGACCGGGTCGTTGGCTAGGAGCTCGCGGAAGCGGTTGGCGCCTTCGGCTTCGCGGATATAGTCGCATTCCCAGGCTAGTTCGGTGCGCGCGTTCGCAATTGTTTTGTCGAGGAACAGGCCCTTGGGGAGGAGGCGGGAGGCTGTTAGGAGAATGGAGAGGTTGTTTAGGTCGCTGTCGATTGAGTCGGCAACGCCTGGGTATTGAACTTTTACGGCGACGGGTTGACCGGTGCTTTTGAGGACGGCTGAGTGCACTTGGCCGATTGAGGCTGCTGCCATAGGGACCTCGTTGAAGGTGGTGAACAGGTCGCGCCAGTTGGGTCCGAGGTTGTCGGTAAGCACTTTGTCACGCTGCCAGGCGGGCATATAGTCTGCGCGATCTTGTACACGTTGGAGGACTTGCTGGATTTGTTCGGGGAGCATGTTGGAGTCTAGAGAAATTAGCATGATAATTAGAGGTGCCAGTGGGCTAGAAAGTGCAACGCACCTTGAATGCTCAGCATCTGTCCCAGCTTGAGAGCTGCGCCGCGCATTTTTGACAACTTGGCTACCATTCGTTCCATGTTACCAGCACTGAACATAATCGAGCCATTATCCTGGCTGCCAGTGGCCCGCCGTAAACCCTCCCCAACAGCACCAAATGCCATTGAGGTCGCTAGACCACCGTACTGCCACAGTCTGCCTAAGCGAGAGGATGGTACGCGCGACTCTAGCATCTGGTATGCTTGTTTCTCCTTGACCTCGTCGACGGTGTGCACACTGGGCACTACTTCTTCAGCGACGCTGGCCGCAAGTTCCTCCATCTCTTGAGCTTCGGATTTCGGAGCCACCGGGGAAATGGGCTTAGCAACATTCACGTCTGGTTGCTGAGGCTTCACGTCCGGCTGCTGAGGCTTTGCGGCCAGCTTCCAGTCCCTCTTCGGCGGCGGCTTTCCGGAGATCATGCGCGACACTCTCGGGCTGTGGAAAAGACCTTGGATCATCTCCTCGGACATCTCCTGCTCGACGGGAGCAGGCTTACCCGACCCAACAGACGAGTTGAAGACGTCCGCATTCAATCCATCACTACTAACTTGAGCATCACTTGTGGCCTTAGGTATCTTCACTCTCGGCAGGCCCGAGAGATCCAGCTCCGACCGAAGCGATGGCTCATAGAAGACATCCTGTTGCTTGTTCACATCCAGAGCATTCGGTTTCTCATTGCCAGTGTATGTTGCGGCCGAAGCCGGGATCTGCGATTCGGCCTGACGTTGCAGTTTGCGGGCGAGGTCGGGAGGCGGAGTAGTTGCAGTGCTAGGCGTCTTATCCGCCGATGTGGACTTGTCGGGGAAGTCTGCCGGGCTCGGCGAAGATGGTGGCGAGGGTTCATCAAATCGGCGTGCCAATGCAGCGGCAGCTTGAGCGGTCAGGATTAGACCCTCTGTTTGGGCCTTGATCCCCTTTGTCAGGGAAGATGTGCGCGTGTAAACATCTAGTTGTTGTTGCCGAATGGCCAGGTGTTTGGCTGCGACCGTTTTGGACACATTGAGGAATTGAAGGGCGTCGAGCAGACGCTTGCCTGACATGGTTGTGGAGATTGACTTTAGTTCATGACGCGGGGAAAATAGGCAAAAGAGATCAGCAAGATAGTAAAAATGGTTAACAGGGCCAAAAACAGTTAATAATGCGAAACAGTCAAGCTGATAGGGAGCTTTCGGACGTGTGCGGCGCTCTCCGACCTGCCCACTTTTTTTTTTGCCGATCGGCGAGCTTCTTCTATAAGACACAAGACACATCCGACTCTGGCTTATCGGGATACATCAGTTCTCCATTGTATTAAATCTGTACTTTATACAAACAACATAAACTATACCCTTACCTCTACCACTACCACATATTTGATAACTACACTATGTTCATCAAAGACACCCAAGATCTCGAAGCAGAGGTCGCCCTCCTTGAGTCGCGTCTGCAAGATGCCCGTGCTCAGCTAGCAGCATCAGAATACCCCAGCCCACCTTCTTCATGGACCGTTAAAGGTAGGCAAAATATATACCCCCAATGCCAAATACCTCTAGCTAACCCATGCTAGAACAATATAATAATTCCAATAATCACAAATTCACCACCTCATCCCGCACATCCCTTCACGCCCTACTCCTCCTCTCAGACTCCGCCCTCCCACTAGGTTCTTTCGCCTACTCTAGCGGACTAGAATCCTACCTAGCCCACAACAAATCCTCCCGCAAAAGCCCAATAGCCTCCTTCCACCGCTTCCTCAAACTCTCCATCGCCTCAATCGCAAGCACATCCCTCCCCTACGTGATAGCTGGGTACCGGGAACCCTCAACCCTCGATACACTAGACAACGACCTGGACGCTTCAACGCCGTGCATCGTCGCACAGCGCGCAAGTATCGCCCAAGGTCGTGCGCTTATCGGCGTGTGGGAGCGCGCATTCAGAGTCAGCTTCGCGGCCCCCGGGAGCCGGGCTACGGGAGACGTCGAGGCCGCCATCGTTGCCATTGATGATTTGTCCAATGCGTTGAAGTCGTGTCTCGAGGAGGACGAGGATCTCGGTCCCAAGGGCCACTTTGCTCCGCTGTGGGGTGTGGTCTGTCGGGCTATGGGTCTGGACTTGCAACAGACAGCGTATGTCTTTATTATGAATCATGCTAAGGCCGTGCTTAGTGCGGCTGTCAGAGCGGGTGTCATGGGCCCTTACCAGGCGCAGAATGTCTTGGCCAGTCAGGAGCTGCAGGATACGATGATGAAGCGCATTGCGCGGGAGTGGAATACGCCAGTCGAGGAGGCTGGACAGGTTGTCCCTGCGCTGGACCTTTGGGTTGGGAGGCACGAGTTGTTGTATAGTCGGATCTTCAACTCATGAGAATATGAGAATATGAGAATATCAAGAATCAAGAATATTTATAAAAGAAGACATTGTAGTCATGGGGGCATGAAAAATCCTCACATTGCATTCGTCATATTTGTACTTTTTTTGCTCCGACACGGTAGTCCTACACGACACAGAAATCTAAAATAGCTCAGCCTCTGGAGGAAAATCAGTGTGCGCCGGCCTCTCGTCCAGAGAGGATAACGAACGACGCCCCTGCGCCTTGAGAAACCCACCATTGCGTTGGTTTGTAATGGAGAAAAAAAAAAAGAAAAAGAAGACAGAAAGCAAAACATGCCCCGAGTTAGGGTTGAGCGCGCATAACTCGTCAAACGCCGGCCCAAACAAGACCTGCTAAATCACACAAAAAAACACCAGACCATGACCTGTCCGGATGGGACACACTAAAAATAGATAGGCGTAAAGAGGAAAGCATAGAAAGGAAGATATAATACACGAGATTTGTAGTTCGATCAGAGGGTAATATGCATGTGGTCGTTGCTTCCGAAGGATTTGCCGCAGTTAGGGCACTTGCGAGAACGAGACGTAAGACGCTCTTCGACGCAATCTTTGCAGAATACATGGCCGCATGTTTTGATCGCTGTGTTTTTGAAATTGCGACGACACACTGTGCACAATGCAAGTGTCTAAAGGATATTAGCTTTGTGATCATGAACAAATGTGGGAATTCAACATACCCGCAACATTTCATACTCCGAGGAGGAATTGCCAAGACTCTTGTTCTTCCAGTTGTCCAGACTCTTCTTGGTATCTGAAAGTGACTGTTTCAAGCCAGCAACCTCTGTCTCGGCTTGCCGCAAAGCAGAAGTGGTACTTCCCAGTGTTGAGTCCTTGGAAATTGAAAGCCCCTTGAGCTCAGCAACCTGGTGTTTCAGGCCTTCCGTGAGGATGTTGGTCTCAGTCAACTGCTGCTGAATTGCCCTGTACTTGCTCAGGGCTGCGTTCAGTGCCTCCTTGGTCTCACTTGCTTGCTTATCCATGTTAGATACCAATGACCGAGTGGTCGCTTCCGACTCCTTCAGCTGGGCCACAATATCTGACGTCTTCGAGCTTTGCATTCTGAGAGTTCGGACTTCGACATCCCGTGCTTCTTTGCTCTTCATTGCAGCAAAGAACTTCTGATCTGCTTTAGACTTCTCCGCCGTCAGCCGTGCGACCTTCTCTTCCATAGCCGCGAAGTCGGTAACTTTCTGCGATGCGAGAGTAGCAAACTTCGTGTAGGCCGTTTGCATCGATGTCAACTCGGTGTTGAGCATGGAGTACTGGCGTTCCAGGCTGCTATACTTGGCGCGAAGCTCCTCCAGGGGCATATCGTTGATATTGTCGTCGGATTTGGAGCCCTCAATCTGCAGTCGCAACCTTTGGCTTTCCGACTCTAAGGCTGTGATTCGGGCCTCTCTAGCGTCTGCCAGTTCTTGCAGTTTCAGACTAGAAGTCTTCTTCTGATCTTGCGCGGCCTTTCTCATCTGCTGATCGGCCAAAAGTTCGTCGCGAGCATTCCGTATCCGGGCAAGGTCCGTTTCAGCTCTCATCAACTGAGCTTCTTTCTCGGCAATCGTACTTTGTGTTTCATCCTCCACCTGGATCTTGTATGCAGTTCTTTCTGAGCGGTATTTCTCTGCTTCCTCACGAAGTTGGACATTCGTCGCTTCTAGGTGGTTGATTCTCTTAACTACATCGTCATATTGCGATCGAAGATGTTTAAACAAATCCGTGTGGGCGTAATCATCGTCGGTGAATTTTGAAGACTGCGATACCGATGTGAGCAATAAAATGGCAATATAACAACGGGGTGAGTCTAACCTTGACTTTGATTTCGGTAATTTGACTTAGTAGGCTGGCATTTTCGGCTTCCAGTTTCCGGACTTGCTCCTTTTGTTTCTCCGAAATTGCAGTGAGCTTGTTATTGGCTTCTTCCAACTCGGGGTTACGATCTCCGGCGGGGGTTCCTCCATTTGCGGGAGACGATTCTTCGCGCTTTGATTGTGCCGTGTCCCCAGGTCGCTGGATGCCCATAGACTGCTGCTTTTCCAGTTTCGCAACTGTCAGACTCTTCGCACGGTCAAGTTTCTTTTCGGCTACCAGATACCGCAGCGAGGCTTCCTCAAGGCTTTCCTCCAACTGCTGCTTTTCGGCTAGGGTTTTTTCGAGTTCGGCGATCGCTACTTTTTCCTCGGCCAACTTCTTTGCAAGGCGAGTTTGTACCTCTGAAATATCGGTAGGCGCATTAGACTTGGACTGAATTTGCGAAATTATTGCGCGAATATCCTCCGACCGCGATTTCAGATGGGCCTCGAACTCTTCAACATCTTCGAACTGTAAGGAGCTTTTAAAGGATGTTTCTGTAAATATTGTCAATATTGAGATAGTCGGTGTGATGTGGGGCTAGAACATTAGTACTGACCTTGGTCTTCTGTTTCTGATGATCCAAGTACCAATTTCACTTCATCAATCAACTGTCGTGGAATTAGTTCCTACTCCCAAATCCTTGTCAAGTTGACTGGGACAAATAAATGGAAAACATACCTGTTTGAACCACAAATCGATTACACGAAGATGATCATTGTGAAACGTGGCAGCCTTTGACATCTGACTCAAACGTGCTTCAAGTGACGATTTCTCCCGTTTATATTCTTGCATCTGGCGCAGAATCGCTTCTTTTTGGAATCGCTATCGCAAAAAGTTCAATTAGCATATATTCAACAGGAGACCAAAGCGAGGCTCCAGACCGCGGACTAGATCCAAAACAACGAGCTTACCTCCAAATCATCTTTCCATGGCATATCGGCATCTGGATGAGGTTTATTGCCACCGTTGACACTGGTAGCCTGTTTCTTTAACGGCGGAGCCGAGTCATTGCTGTCCGCAGCGGGCCTCTTCCGGTCTTCCATCTTGACAAGACCGAGCTCTGAAGACACAACGGGGGGTTCGACGGCCGGCATCAGTGGCTATACTGGCATGGGAGGGCTATTATCACCACCGGACCGTCCGTCAGTCAGCCAGACGCAGATCTCGCGACTGTGTCCAATCCTGTCGAAGGAGAGTCCGGTAGAAGAATAAATAGCCAGTAAAAGAAAGCGAAAGAAGTGGAAGTAAAAGAAGGGCGGGCGAGCAGACGATAGAAGGGGTGGGATGGCAGAGATCGAGGAGTTGAAGACAGGAGGATTTTCAACGAGGTTTAGCGTCCGCTAGTGCCATCACGTGATCCTCGCCCACTTCCCCGGCCTGGAACTTTTTACGATCTTCATCAATCGACATCTTAAAAGCAATGGGTAGTCATGAAGTCCTTTTCCAGTTCTGCGATCAGTGAGTGTTATCTGAGTGGAAATCATACCTGTGCGATTTCTGACTGTGTGTTTGACAGATAAAACCGGCAAGAAATTCGCCCCGAAGGCGCCTATCCGTCGTGCGCCTGCCGCCGCGCCCGCAAGACGACCCAGTGTTGCTCAACAGTCACCAGCTGAGCCTGTTCAAGAAGAGAAGGCCAAAGATGTAGCTGACTCTAGTCTCACCGATTCTGTGACTACAGGGCTGGAAGCACGGGCAGTCACAGAGGTCTCACCCGCGTCAGTTGCTGCGCCTAGCACAGAACAAACACCCGTTCCTTTGAATAATGAAGCTATCCCCCCGATCGCTACGCCCGCCACTACCTCCACCACTACCTCCGCCACTACTTCAATCACCACACAGATAGTTACACCTACCACTACACCCATCGCGAAGCCGACTCCGATCCCTAAGCCGACAGGCATCTCAAAGCCAACTCCAATTCCCAAGCCGACAGCCATCCCAAAGCCAACTCCAATCCCAAAGCCGACTGCGATTCCTCACCCACAGGAACGCAAGGCATCTGTCTCTACCTCACAACCCCCACCTGTCTTAACGGCTCCGCCTACCCCTCCTTCCACCCAACCTACCCCATCTCCCGCCAACGTCCCGACTAGTGAGGCTGAACCTGCGTCCTCTGAGGATCACGGACCAGAGAAGGCTCTTCTAGAATACGCCAGGATTGAAACAGCGCGGGCCGCAGAAAATCTCGTCGATTCAAATGAAGCTCTACCCCAATCACAAGCTGAAGCTGAACAAATTGCCCCAACTGAGGGTCCACCAGCAAAACGTGCTCGAACTGCATTAACTACATCGATTGCGACTACATCTATTGCGGTCCCAGCTCGGAAGAAGTCTGCATCTGCAGCGGCAAGCCGTCGAGGCTCCCAGTCAATTGTGCCTACCATCGAAGATGCAAGCGCAACCCCCGGTGGATCCAACCTCTCGACTCCGGATCCAACAAAGCCGAAGAAACGAAAGTACTCAAAGGCCGGTACCTCCGATCCTGAGGGTAGCGAGAAACCAAAGCGTACCCGCAAGAAGCGCGAACCCACCCCGGAAGGCGCGGAGACGGTAGAAATCTTGCCTAACGTTGTGAAAATGTCGGAGCTTTGCAAAGATCTCAGAACTGGAAAGAAGTCCAAGCGCGAGACAGAGCTACGGAAGATTGATAAAGCTGAAGAAGAACGGAAGAAGCAGGGCGGGACCCCTGGGCCAGGAACACCCGTCAAGCAAACCGACGCCGAACGGGAGAAAACCGAACAACCAGTCGATTGGAAACCCCAAAGCGGCCCTATTATGCGAATCGTTAATGGTGAGATCGTGCTGGATAATACGTCCTTGCAGGTCGACCGTCACGCAGATGCCGCCCGAGCTGCCGGCGACCTCGAAGATGTGGTGGAAAGCTCGTTCACGCGAAAGATCAACCAGGCCTCGTACGGTAAGCGTACAAAGACCGAAACATGGGATGAAGAGATGACAGATCTGTTTTATCGCGGGCTCCGCATGTTTGGCACCGATTTCATGGTTATTAGTAAAATGTTCCCGGGCCGGTCTCGGCGCCAAATCAAGTTGAAGTTCAACAATGAAGAGCGCCGTGATCCGCAACGCATCAAGGACACCCTGATGGGCCCGCCTGAGACCATCGATATTGCAACCTACTCAGAGATGACAAACACTGTCTACGATGATCCCAAGGTTGTTCATCAAGAACTTGAAGATGAAAAGAAGCGGATTGAGGATCAGCACGCCAAGGAGAAGGAAATGCAAGAGGAAATGCTACGCAACCCAACCGGCGATTCCAATGATGCCAATAACGACAAGACTGTTGTCAAGAAGTCGCGCAAAAAGGCGAGCGTGAAGAGCCAGGGAGGTGGTACAGAGGAGGTTCTGGGATCAATCGATGACTTCCCCACAGCTTAATTCAGGCACATTAATGGACATCTTATGAAATGAAAGATTATAGCTTACGGCGTTCGAAACGTGGGATTACAGGATATCAAGCCAGGAGTTCTGAGCTATTTGATTTGCTAATTGGTCTACTAATTGATTTGTGACTTCATTATTTCCCATTGTATGAGTGCCAGTTCCATAATGGCCACAAGAAGTTACGGCCATCAATTAACAACCTGATTCTTCCGTTGTCCTTATCAAAGACATCTGGATCTTTTTCGCTGTGCCCTCAAGTTGGTAGCAAATGACGATAAACGTACATGACATGTTCATGAGATCACCTACGCCTCGTAGACCCGAACCCGGTACTAGCAGTCGTAGATGAAAATTGCGGCGGCGAGCGCGAGCTGCCTTCACCTGGGTCATATCCACCAGACCTGCCCATTGGCATTCCACCACGCGATCGATTATCAGACTGTCTCCCCATCTGATAACCAGCGGCAGCACCTCCTAGCGCACCAGTCCAGAAACCTGGCGTCCAGCCCTGCTGACGAGCAGCAGATTTATAAGGATCAAAACTGCTGTACGGAGGCGGAGGATCATTTCCACCACCTCCACCACCTCCACCTCCTCCCCAGTACCCACCCCACCCTGGGGCCGGACCCGGACGCCTGTCTCGCCGATTCCCCCAACCGAAACATTGCGCCAGCAAAGGCCAAAAGATCATAATGAAAACAGCAACGATGAACCCGAAGAAAATCAAATCCCCAAGCACCGACATCATCTTCTGAACCCCAGTCCCGGACCGGCTCCTCCCAGTCCAATCCCACTCGTCGTCCCCGCCTTTCTTCCCAAACCTCTTCTCGCCAGCCTCGGTCAAAAGCAACCGGTACTCAACCCCACAACTCCCCTTCAACACCCACTTATCATCGGCATTCCGGTACCCCTCGCATATGACATCTGTTGCGCCAAGCTTGAACTCTGCCGGCAGGTCTGCGGTGCAGGTCCATTGCACGTCTTCGATATCGTAGTCGTAGCCTTGGTTTGTGCAGCGCATTACCTCTGGTTGGTAGAGGTTGCATATTTGTTTTGATGGGCCTGCGCAGCTGAGTTGGGGGACTGGTGAGATGCGGCGGGAGCTTGTCATGCGGTGCGCGTGGAGTGTTAGGGTTTGCACATTTGATAGTAGGATGGCATCTTTGCCAGGTGGTTTGGAGTTCGAGCTGCATGTTGCTGGTGAGATGAGAAGTAAGGCTGCGATTGCCAGTTTGGGGAGACTGCGCATGGTTGGATAGCTGAGAGCTAGACAGCTCTCTGCCTTGTGGTCTATGTGTGGTCTGTGATGCCTGGGGTATTGGTGTTGATCTGAGGTACGGAGTAGTAGTTAGTGGTAAGCACGAGATAAGGAGGTAGCGTCGCTTTTCGAGTAATTAGGCTCCAATGCTATGAGTCAACAGGTGGCAATTATTTTTAAGGATTTCGTGTCCTTCCAAACAAACTTGGAGTGGAGAACTAACAGTCTAGCTTTGTTTGCTCTGTTTGCATGATCTATATAATTTGTATCTTCTTTTGATTTACAGGAATTTCCAGCTTAATTTATTATTACATTGGTGCAAACAATATTTCTACTCCAGTCAACCCTACTATGTAGTTGTTAGGGCTAATAGTTGACCAACTACCACACCCATACTGGTGGATGTAGCATTCTGGGCAGTAAATCTACAGGTTGACAGACTGGAAGTGGAGCCAGCCTCTGAGTCTGTCCCCATCTCATAGGCATCATCGCTGCGGGCCAGATTGTCGCGGGCTGTCTTAGACCGTTGATAATGCTGATTTTGAGGTTCATATGTAACAATTAAAGATACAGTAATTCAATCCCAATGTAAAGGGTTTTTAGTTTCCACTTACAACGTACTGTGGTTTCATGTAGAACTTGTTTCCACCGGCAGGTAACTCAGCCCAACTTTTGCGTACAAATTGAGCCCAGGGGCGATAATCTTTATTCTTGATATTTTGGTCTTGGGAAATTCGTATCATAAGTTCCTAATTCGCGTTAGCATTTATTCTGACTAGTAACGGTTGAGGGACAGCAGTACTTCGACACAGCGCAGCTAATATAAACACGGTCAGCGAATAAACAATAATGAGCGTGAACAACCTTTCTAGGCAATGTGACAACAGAAGCATAGCCATTGCATGCTGCGACACGGAGAGGCGTTCGGCCTTCAATAGTTGTTATATCTAGGAGTCTTGTTCCTCAGTCAAAAACAATATCTCGCCCCCTCTTGGGGCGCTTGCTCTCGGATCTCGACTATGCTTTCATGGCCCTGCTAGGCAGCAAAATGCATAGCAGTTGACTTGAGATCTGTTGTTGCAAAGACATTAGCTCCTCTATTTAAGAGTAGCTCAGCAATTTCTCGCTAGCCTAATTCTGCTGCAAGCATTAAGGGAGTCACGTCTTTCTGAACATTATCTTCGTGTTCGAATTAGTGAATAAAGACAGATTTGAGGACTGCCTAATTTTCCAGAAGCCCGCCCATGGCGTCTGAATTGTTGCCCTCAATTGCCGTTTTCAGCTCCTCCAGGATATTGAACCATAGGAGCGTCCGCTTCAATGACCGCCGTTATCTCGTAATTTGTACCCATTACTATAAGTATATGCTTTGGTCAGACCAAATAAATCAAATTCCCAGGTAAACCATAGTACCTTCCACGATATCGTGTGGCTTGGGTCAATTGCTGGTATTCAATTGTGCAGTATATGTTCCGTGAAGAGAACAATGCTAAAAGCAGAAGGACAGAGAAACATAATCTATCTGTCTCCCCGCTCATGTGTGGTCTAAGTGTTTCAGGGCCCTGAAAATAGGTGCCATGATTATTACAAAAGTACAATGCGTACCCCAATGTATCTAATGTATCCAATCATCTATGTCACCCCTCACCCCATATCCACAGATGCGTCTGATTTATAACCCATCTTGTCTATCAATTCCAATTTAATTTTTCGAGCGCTTCGCGGTGGAGTCTATTATATCAAGCTCCTTCTTCGAAGCCGGATATACCCACGAACAGGTTGTATCCGATGATCACGGTTTATATTGTAGTGGGGAGACCACTACAACATACGTATTAGTCTTGCCAATTATTTTTTTTTCATTATGAAAAGGTTCCAAGGTCATTTCAAGGTTCGTAGTTTATTGTGTATCAGATCGGGATATGGTCCTCCCTAGGCCCTTGATAGGAACCTTGGGGGGGTTTTTGTTATGGCTGTCCATGGATTTCTATGTTTCTTGATACTACTATGTAGTCGTATTACCGTCGTGAGATACATAATAGTAGTATTGAAAGAGTACGGAGTAAACGTTTCCAAAAATTGATCCTGGTTACAGCATATAAAGAGACATAATTCAGGCAAATTCTAGGCCATGGAGTGGACTGTAATTATATGCCTCTTGAGGCCACCGGTGGAAGTTCCTCTGCTTAAAGTTTGTAGGAAACGTCGAAACCTTCCGTGCCCAATCAGTCACCCCCACCGCTTTTCATTGCATTCATTGCATTCAAGTTGGCTCCATTTACAACCTCGAGAAATATACGAGTCATCAAACATCTTACCAAAATGACAGAGAATAATGTCACTAGTACAACAAACATCAAAACACGCTTCTTGATATGCTCAGACACCCATGGAATCGACAGTCTACCTGGCTTCATTCCGTCCGCAAAGCAACATGCAGACGTTGCTATTCACTGCGGAGATCTCACCACCCAATCTCAACTCCATGAATACAAAGCGTCAATCCGTTTGCTCCAGACCATCAATGCACCTTTAAAGCTTGTCATAGCCGGAAACCACGATTTCACAATGGACATACCAATGTTTCACAAAAAGGTCGCAGAGGCCCAGTCGTTAGAGCGTGAGCTCGTTGAACAAGCGTACGGATCTGACGGAGAGGCTAGGAGATTATTTGAAGGCACAGGGATTACCTTCCTCGACGAAGGCGTACACTCTTTCCATTTACAGAATGGCGCTTTGCTGACTGTTTATGCCAGTCCATACACGCCGTCCCTTGGAGATTGGGGGTTTCAGTACCACCCCGACAAAGGCCATGACTTTATGATCGACAATGGCAGTGGTACTAGCGCCGTGGATGTTGTGATCACACATGGGCCGCCGAAGGGAATCATGGACTACACCCACTCCGGTGAACGGGCAGGCTCCCCGGACCTCTTTCGTGCCCTCGCTCGCGCCCGACCACGGATGCATTGCTTCGGCCACATCCATGAAGGCTGGGGTGCAAAGCTTGTTACGTGGCGTGACAGAACTACCGCCATGCCCTCTCACCTAACGGATATCGACAATGGACAGTCTTGTTCTATAGCGAAGCTATCCGACATGAAAGACAGAGCCAGGCAAAGCTTGGGCGGGTGCGGTACGCCTGTGACGCACTTTGCTACTAGCCACTGTTCTGGGGATACTCATCCACTGAAATGGGGGTCTCAAACGCTGTTTGTGAATGCTGCTATTGAGGGGACTCCCCAAGACATGTGGAATCAGAAAGAGGATCTCTCGATGCAGCTACCATGGGCTGTAGACGTTGAACTTCAATCTTCTCCCTAAGGGGTAGAAGAAGCAGGCGGACGGGAAAAGTGAACTTTGCAACGAGCCTTTTATAAGATATGTCATGAAATTGAATTTCCGTTGCTCTTCAACGCCACCTTTCATAGGACCTACCTTCCATAATAGAGACTTACAACATAGCATGCGAGGGGACAGAGCCAAAAAGTACTCCACAGTGCTTGCTCACTGGGTATCAATTTCCAAAACTCTCATCAATATCTATATAACAAGACCAAAAGCCCTGCCATCTTCTTCTTGAAGAACTGAATACAAAACCAAACAATACAATCCCCCCAGGCAAAACCTGCAGGCATCCAGCATATACTTCAGCTCTTCATCGTCGAGCCCTGGAAGTAATTGACCCGCCTTTGCTACCCCCGACAGTAGCCATCGAAAGTCTTCAGCTTGTCCATCACTCCCACGATCAACCACCGTCATGGCCCTCAATCTCAATAAGTCCGACATGGACGCAACAGAGCCTTCAAAGAAGGGTACTGTCGCGTGGATCCGTTCGATAGAATCTCCGATCTGAATGAGATCAATTCGGACGCGGATTCCTTGACTAGCATCAAACGCGATCTTGCCGTCGGGCTCGAGAGAGTAATTGAGGGCGCCGTCCATCACTCCCTTGCAGATGTCTTGTAGAACATTGCTTGGGGCCACAACATCCACGTCCTCGGTGTAGAAGGCCGAGCCGTGGGCAATGCTGGCAGTGCCGCCAACTAAAACGAGTTGATGACGCAGTTCTGGGCGGACTAGGCGGGTGGTTGTTCGGAAGCACTCAATGAGTGCTTCTCGAAGTGGTGCAGAGATGGGGCTGGACTTCGGCATACTTCGGAGGTAAGAAACAAAAGCGGGTCGCAGGGCCTCTGTTAGCGATCAGCATCTCTATACCATCAGCGATAGTGACAAATGCAGACTCACTGAAGTATATACTGGATGCGGGCAGGGCCCGGGGAGGATTGGCTTGATTGCTACATTATCCCATGTCAGTAGAGTCTTTGACTGTCAAAAGGTCTGAATTTACCAAAAGTGCTATACAAGCAGAAGGAGAAGGAGAAGAAGAAATTCATATAACTAAAGGCATGTTAGCATTTGCTTCTGCACGCGGACCGCAATAGGTATTAAGGCGCTGACCTATCTGTTTGTACCCGTGGACAACACACCATTGATGGTAAAGGATAGTATGTTATTATCTACGTAAGATCCTCTTTTGAGATAATAACCATCTCTGCTCAGTTGTGCCTTCCATTTTTATTACGCTTTGCTTTACTTCCAAGGTTACCTATAGATGACTTCTCAGAGTTTAGCAATACCAGTTATACTTAACCCGTAGAAATCAATTGAGGAAAGAGCCACAAAGAGCTCCTCAAGCTGAATTTCTTTGGACATATTGATGATTTTGAACAGTCAAATGATTGGATAGTAATCATTCAAAGTGGCAAACCAAGTGTTAGCGAAGATAGTGAGTCCTCGAATTGTGTCTGTAAAAGCCATGCTACAGATACAAACAGTTAGCTGTACTTCGATCTCATGCCTTGTCTTGGGGCCAATCTCTGAAGTGAATGTTTTCTCAGCCAGCTCGGACCAAAATCTTGCGGGGCTCTTGTGTGCGAATCAGTGATGGTCCGATCACGGGAAGGAGTGCGTCTAGTTCTGCGCTTGACGAGAACCGTGAATATCTGGCCTTAACCGCCCTTTCCAGTGCAGATTTCAAATCGGGAAGAGCAATCCTTCTGGAGCTGATCCTTCTCGGAATTTTCGATGGAGATTTTGTGGATACGGGTGAAGTTGCAGAGTTAGGCGAGGTAGAAGAGTTAGACTGAGAACATTCCATAGTCAAGTTGACTCAGCCGAGTGCCGAATAGAGGATGTGCAGAAATCGATTTGAGTACAAAGTGAAAGAAAAGTAAGAAGTCCCCTTGCCTCAGATTGGCTCAAGGTTCTTGGGTGTTGAGGGCTCACGAGTAACTGAAGAGAACTTGAGATGATAGAGAGGTGAATAAGTAGAGAATTGAGAAATAAGTAAAGGTGAGAGATGAGTGAGAGATGAGTGAGAGTTGTTTGAAGTTAAAGTCAGAGGTGTGAAAAGGAAAGAAAAGAAAGAAGAAATTTAGAGGGACTTGATAGAGGTACCTGACGAACCATAGTAAAATCAAAACTACTATGCCTATTCTAGCAATCCTTAAGGACCATGGAACCTCATCCCCGTAACTAGAAGTGGAACTGCCATCGAGGCCGACAGATCCCACCCTTCTCGGATTACCGAAGGACAACAAATTGTCCATGCCCACATGACTCTCGATCAGTACTACTATTCATCCCTTGAAGACACCACGACAAGAGATAAGGATCAGGTGTTGTGGCGTAGCACAGATTCAAGGCTCAAACAGACAGAAAGCAAGAGTAGAACAAAATTAGAGCTGCTGGAGAACCGACAACCAAACAACGGGCCTCAAGCAGCCGATGATGTACGCAAGATTCTCATTGTGAATCAGCTGTGGCTTTGGATACTTGACGAAAGTATGAACTTGTAGATATCCTTGTTCTATTACAGTTGCCTAACTAATATCTCATTACACTAGAGACCGTTATCACAAGTACAACACAAGAGATGGATGAGACCGAAAGCAGCTTTCTCCAACGGGTTTTGAATGACCTTCGAACCCAAAAAAAGAACTCTTCCGTATCGGTTGAAAACATTCAAGAGCTGATCCTCAGTACGGCCACGAGTCTTTTTAACAAGAAAGATGTTGAAGTATTGGGGAATAAGAAATCCCCTTTGAGTGTATATCGTGCGGCTATCTTGAACGTGGTAAGTAGAGCCAATGATTCCAGAAAGTGTAGGTCTAGACTAATGATTGATATAAAAAAGCGCGACAAGGAAGCGCACCTGTTCGATTTATTTCAGAAGTCACTTGATGGTCCAGCGACAGACAATGAGGGTCAAGCGAATGCGACCAAGCTACTAGTAGAGAACAAGGGACCAGGTGAAAACCAGAATGTGAAACAAGAGACTGGACTCATTGGTCGCTTGTTCAAAAACAAGCATAGACCTTGGAAAAGAAGAGACACATATAACCCATACGGTGACATCGCCGGCGAGACAGAGTTACTCCGAGAAGTCAAGGACATTTGTGATGAGCTCAACATGCTCAAATCCCTAGCTCTAGATCAGGAAAACGTTTGGAAGCAAATCTGGAGGGACGGATCTAACCCAGACGCTACTTTCACCTATGACACACCTTCTGAGGTCAAGAAAGAGATTACGGAAATGGTCAAGGAGGCTGAGTTTGTACAACAGGCCATTGACATGCTACTGGACTTGAAGCAGAAGCAAGCCAATATTGTCGAGACCGAGTTTTCACGGAAGCAAAGCGAAGGTACTGCGAGACAGAGCGACACAATCATGGCGTTCACAGTCGTGACAATTCTCTTCGTAAGTGCATATCCATTCCAGCTGTCGCATGTTTATATCTGATATATTCGCAGCTCCCTGCCTCTTTCCTAAACAGTCTACTTGAGTTGGATATCTCCGATTCCCCTCATGTGGGCGATGATGTCCGCCTCCAAGGACGCGTAATATTTCCTATTATCTGTGAGTTCTCACCCTAGTATATGCGGTATCAAGCACTGTCTGACAAATTACTTCTCTTTGACTCAAGTTGGTGTTTCTATTTTTCTGTCTGGATTTTTCGCAGTCATCGCTTACAACGCAAGTACGTTGAAGGAATATACGTTGGGCAGATGGAAAAGCCAGAACACGAACAAACCGACAAATCCGCCAGTTGAGTTAAAGCCTCCAACCAGCCAGCAGATCAGCGAGCAGGCCAAATTACAGATGGAAAAATACTTGAGCAATTGAACTTAAGACAAGACCTGAAGAATGGCAGTAAGTACAGCTGGTATGTGTCGGGGAGTGATCAGATGTTTGATGGTTGCTGTTGCTTTACAAGAGTCGCCGGCCGCTTATGCCTTTGTGATGTCCTTTCCCCTGCTAGTGTTATAACCAGAATGAAAAGAAGATAGCCGCAAAATATAAAATGTGGGCGTTGCTCCACAATCGCTCCACGTCACTTAGCAGCCTAAAGCCAGTCCTATAATTTTCCGAGAGAATATATGTCATGTTCCTTTTCGGAAGTATAAAACAGCTTTTCATACCATCCCTCCGTGCCCAAAGACTGTAAGCGTTTCCCGAAAGGCTGACAGGAATCGAAGTCAATCAACACTGGCGATCCATTCTTCACCATAATATTATCCGGGTTGATGTCGTTATGTGCTAGACCCAAAGTGTGAAGGTGCTCCACCGCTGACTTGAGAGATTCGAAAAACTTGACTTTGTCAAGCTGTTGAAAATCAGATGTCGAGGCAAACTGGCTCAGAGTTTGATCAAGCCGCTCGAGAACGATAGACGTGATATAACCGCGTCTCACACGACAGCCGTAATATCGAATGATATTTTGGTGAGGTGATTGTGAGATCTGCTCCATGACGATTGTCTCATCAAGAACGGCCTTGGGGAGATGGTTTGTGCCGATCATATCGTCGTACCACTGTAGGCCTGGTCGTTTCACATAAACCAAAGAAGCATCTAGCCCTTCCGGTGCAAGTGTCAAGGGGGTGTCGGTGGGTATCTCTGGATATATATCTTGGTCTTGGACGCGTTGGAGAGATGAATTGAACTCTAGAATGGTCATTTCGCGCTTATTTTTTTGACGCGTAGCCGAAGAAAACCTCCTCATCCTCCGTGACATGGTAGAAAGTAGTGGATTTCAGCTTTCCATCGCTCCATGACTCGATTATCGTCAAGTCCTGGAGTGATTTTACTAAGCCCATTCTTGGGCAAGGGTTTGTATATTGCCCAGGAGTACTCATCTGGCGGGGCTTTCCTATTTGAGCTGACTCGGGCCCACTGAGTCAGGTGGACCTCAACGCCAGCTCCACCGAGGCAGATCAGTGTGTATATCACGTGTTGCTGACTAGTGCGCTCCTTCCTTAGAAACTATACCCAGAAGGGATTAGCGCAGGTCATTTATACTATGTATGAGGCTATACAAAATACGGAGTAGATGTACATAGTTCGTTCGTATAAAAAACGCAGGACTCCATTCCCTGGTGATCACTTCTCTCTATCTTCTAAATATATTGACAGAATTAGGGTCGAGCACCACCTATGTCTAACCTTTGTATTCTCATCAACGGTGGAACAATTCCCGAGGTCAGTCTCTGGTGACCTTAATCCTCGTACAGATTAGTTTTGCAGTTGGCCTACCAGGTCATATTGGCCATGATGTCTTTCATGCTTTAATTTTCGACCAAGAATAGCAATCTTGTATGTTGTAGGAGAAAAAAACGAAATCTCCAAAAATAGAAGAGCGCTTAGAAGCGGAAACGACGGTTGCCTAAGTTGAGGCATGGTTGTTTAACCACTAGGTATGCTACTCTGTACAAGATTCCCTTTGTTGCGATGAGTTTAACAAAATACCTACTTAACTATATCCAGTTTGCATTTCTGCCAAGCGCCCCAATCTAGGTATGATCTTCATCTCCAGGCTGTTGGCAGGTTGATACGACGGTGTACCGAGATCGTTATACGCGGCTTGCATAAAGTGGCTTATCTCGGCCCGGGCGGCATGATATAGTGTATATTGCTGGTGCCTGTCGCAGTGTCTAGAACAACTCCCTGCATTAGCGATGTTCTGGCCACCATCTGCGTGTATAATTGTACTCTCCATTTTTTTTCATTCTGCCTAATATACGACTAGGAATCCCACGTGTTAGGCCCGTTCTAGTAGTTAGCCCGGACGCCACATTTAGAATCTCGGAGGCGAGTGCATTGATACTACAGAAGTCTTGTTGGAGAAGGACAAGGGGTACGTACGTCTGTATACGTTAAAATATATATCCGTTTTGTTACGTTAAGAATGACGCGTCCTTCCTTATCCGATTCCTGCATGACAGATTCAACAGTATTGCCTGCTATGAATAGACGGGCTGCTGACGTTGTGCATATCTGCTTAATTTTGAATATTGATAATGACAGATCATATCTTTGACAGCCACGCATGTGCAGTGGTATTGAAATAGGGCAGTAGCTCCAATCATGTAGCAAACTAAAAACTCATTGCAAAATAAATATAATTACCTTCTGTGCCAGTAGAATAATTAAAATGTACTACTGTTATTCTTGAGCGCATAGTCCATAGTGGTGTTGCCCACCCACTATCCAAATATAGCAAGAAGTCAATACAATGTTTGGGAACATTTCCCTTGAATACTACACGTATATTTATAAATGACACAGGTTGTAAGTCAATTGTGTTCAGAACGTGCAAACTCAGACATGGCCCTCTTATGGATGCGCTTTGGCGGTAGTATCTTATGGTTATCGGGCTATATCAATCCGGTCTCATTCAGTTCATCATCAATCTTGTCATAATTCCCAAATGACACCCAGAAAGCGGGAGCAGCAGCAATCATGGTTGCTGCTAGTCCCATGTACAAGTACATCACCTTCGGATTAACCGCAACTGGCGAGAGAACCATTCCCAAAGCAGATCCAATCGAAGCAGTGACCCGCCGCAAGGCCTGTACGGGGCTACACATGTCCTAAGATCTCAGCAAAAGCAAGCAGAAAATACGCCAGGTTCTTTCTCCAAATACGTTGAAGCAATCAGAGAGAGACTTCCAATGTCGGTGAACCTTTCGCCATATCAGTTAGCTGCACATTTCTGCAACGGGATGCTCCATACCAGTAGAAAACATTATATATATATATATATATATATTGGAGAGTCAAGGTACGATCCGCAATGACTCTCTCGCCCTTCCTCGTCACTACTAACTGTGGAGTGAAAACTGTATATTGATCACCGATGAAGGGGGATACAGTGGCCTTGATGCCCCCAATTCCTAGACCCAGCAGGACCATAGCAAGAGCCAATCCAAAACATTGGCAGAATCTTGGGTTAACCCCTGGAAGTGATGTGACAAAGAGCACTATACATCCACATGTATTGGGGCTAGCAATGATCAGCTTCAGCTCGCATATGAGAGGTACGCGTAACTAACATGAAAGAGATGCATAATGTTTTGTATCACCCTATCCGTGTGTCTGAGAGAATAGCAAAATGTAGAGGGGGCTATGAATGAGATGAATGAGAGTGCATTGGGGATTTTGGTTGCGGTTGCTTGACTAAGACCTAGAGCTCCTGGGACCTCAATACTATCGCGATCATCTTGCATATAGCTCTCTGGAGGTGGTCAAGACCCATTGATTCCACGTTAGAGGGTTTGGATAATTACTCCATGGAGTGGTGACGGCATAGTATGTGAATCGGTCCGATACAGTAGCAACAAGAGCTATACAAACAATGAGCGGGATCGAGTCCACCACATGGGGTAAGGTCTTGACTTCGTCCTCGTTGCGTCTCGTCTTTTAACTTTAGTGGCCTGAGTACCCATATTGTTTAACGTAGAACCAAAGGAAAAAGAAGTCCTATATGGCAGTTTTATTGAACGAGAACCCACAGTTCTTGTAACTCTCTAGGGCCGCAAGGCTATGATAGGACTTTGTGGGCTGGACAGTGAGATAGTATCCGTCAACTGCTAGCCCTAGACCACCCTACCCTCCACACATTGAGTGTCGAGAACAAGACAAGGATGTTTCTATTTAGGTCTATGCTTGAGATGTCTAATACAATGCCGTATATTAGATCTACGAGATACATATATGGATTGCCATATGTTTCACCGAGATTGAAAGTAACATTCAGTGCCTATGGCGTAAGGGTATTATGGCAATCAAGCTACAAGGAAAAAAGAAATAATTGAGCCCCCTGCAGGGAGGATGAATCCATTGGAATTGGAGATTTGACAAGTCCACGCGTCGTTATCAGACTCCACCGAATATAGTTAAGCGCTGTGGAGGGTCTGGGTTTCTCCAAGCCCTAGAGGACAACACTCCATGCACGTGCCACATTCCCCTGTTCAGCATCAACCCTCCATTCTTACTACTAGCATGTACTAGTAATCTGTTTTGTTCACTCGGATTGTATAACTATGGAATGATACATACCGTCTTTTTTATATATGCGTTGACGATATCCATAGTGCATACTTAGTATTAATTTTCCGGAAGTTCAAGCAGTATCGAACTATAAATAAGCTGAAACTTCCCCTGGGGCCAAATTTCTATCTCATCTCCAGCCACGTACATAGACCATAGGCTTCCTTCTAACAAAGCCCACAAGGAAGTCACCCCCAAAATGGAAGAATCCCTCGTTCTCTCCAAATTCGATAACCTCGTCCAATCTGGCCTCGTTCTATACGACGACAAACAGCAAATAATCGAGCACATTGACGGCCACCTCAAAGTAGTCATCTCTTCCCCAACCATAACCCGAATCAAACTTCTACTAACGCGATTACTAAGTTCCAATTTGTTCTTACTTCTGCTCTCGCCAAAAAGCCCACCCTAACAACCGCCCAGCCCCAGTCCGAGGCCGATACCCCAAAGTCCGAAAAGCGAGAAGGCAGTGACATCAGCACCACTGGGTTTGAGCTCGGCGCGCTAGATAGCCACTTTTTGATCGTGAACAAGTTCTGCTTTGCGCGGCCTCACCTTATGCTTCTCACGAGTGATGGATACAAACGACAGTATGAGGCGCTCAACGAGGCCGATCTAGGAAGCATGTGGCAGATACTGGTGTCTATGGAGAGGGACTACGTTGGGTTTTACAACTGCGGCCAGAACGGTGGATGTAGTCGGTTGCATAAGCATATGCAGTTGATGCCCATGCCGTCAAACAGTTTTGCGGCCTTTCTGGATGCTCCCAACGAGCCTGAGACGAAAGTTCCGTTGGAGTGGTTCTATCGACGCTTTGAGGGTGAGGTGACGCCTGCTACATTGATCGGGGCTTACAAAGACCTGCTGGAGGAGGCTACCAAGGTGGGCGGGGACTATATGGCAAGTGCACCGCCCGGGGCAGTCTGTCCACATAATATAATTCTTACCAAGAGATGGATGATCGTGCTGCCGAGGAGACAGGGCGGGATTAATAAGGAGGCTGGGGTTAATTCGTTGGGTATGATTGGGATAATTGCCGTGGCTACAACGAAGGAGATCGATAATTGGGTCAGGTTGGGTTTGACGGAGTCCCTAGCAGAGGTGGGGGTGCCTAAAGCGATATAGCTTCTAAAGCTTTTGTGCATGGTAATGCGGAGGTTGAGCCTGCGTCGGCAATATATCATAGACCACCCGCAATTATAAGAATGTCACATCGAGCCCTGAAGATTATTGATATAACGTACTCAAACCACTGATCACTACACTCAGTTCGTACTGAGTGAGCATTTAGGGCACTCAGATGATGATCAGTGAGTCGACCAAGAAGCTCAGGGGTGTTGTCCTATGTAAATGAACGGGTAATAAATATCCTTCTGGGGATCTATTGGTATCCAGCAGGATATAAGTGTCATTGAGTGAAGTACGCAATAGAGTGACATCTACTCCGTAAGGATGCTACTAGTTATATATATCTTTTGGAGTTCAAGTTTCTCCGGTGCGTTGGATGATTATCCCCAACAAGAGAATGACTCCAAGAGTATAATCAAGTCAACTCCGAGGGAAAAAGGAACGTTGAATTTCAAGTGGCAGGCATTATCTCGTACTTTGTACATCTTTTTCTTATAGATGCCAGGGACGCTAGGCCCGAACTAGATAAGAGTGCTTCCTTAAATCTTTAGAGGCAGGCGGTCGAGGATGGCATATCAGCGATAAGAGAAGCTGTTCGGCCAGCCTGGAGATCCGAAAGCTGGAACTTCTTCTCTATCTGGGGATGGGACCGTAAACAACCATTGTCGACAGCCGCTGACAATGGTGCTTCAACAACGTGAGTAGTGCTACCTCGAAGGTCTGGAATTGGTGTGTTGACAATAATGCAGATGAGCCCGCGCCGTTCGCGCCTCAATCCTCGTATGCCCTCTACCCGTGGAGTGGACCATAGGATCTTGCTAACACCCTTTCAGCTTGTCCTTTACCCAAGGATTTCTTCTCGGCCAGCTCTCAGTAGTCCTACTGATTGGCGCTTTCATCAAGTTTTTCATCTTTGGTGAAGCCCCGCCCCCTCCGTCCCGGGGCATGTCAAACCGCACAACACACCGCCGCTACAGCTCCGTCTATAACCCCCCCTCAAGATAGCCAGAAATCATTACGAGAAAAACCGTCCACATCGAATGTTCTTCGTCCCGTACCTTCTACCTCTACAAACACCCGCTCTATCCTACGCAAAACCTACTACAGTGCCATTCCTACCAACCCTACTAGCAAACATGGCCGACACCGGATGCATCACTCGTCGCATCAGCCTGAGTCGCTGGACTGGTTCAATGTGCTCATTGCACAGACAATTGCTCAGTACAGGGAGACAGCCTATTCTCTCAAGGACTCGCCCACTTCATCAATCCTCAGCTCCCTAACGGCGGCCATGAACAACCCGGAGAAGAAACCATCCTTTATAGACAAGATAAACGTCACCGATATCTCACTAGGCGAAGAGTTCCCCATTTTCAGCAACTGTCGCATCATCGCCGTTGACGACCCCATGTCGGACGGTGGACGGCTACAGGCGCTACTGGATGTCGACCTCAGTGACGACAACCTTTCCATTGCTGTCGAGACCTCCATGGTCCTGAACTACCCCAAACCGCGCTCTGCTATCCTGCCAGTAGCGCTATCAGTATCAGTAGTCAGATTCTCGGGAACACTTTGTATATCCTTGATCCCAGCATCAACCGAACCACCAGAACCACTTCAAACGCCCGCTGGATCACCAGCACCCCCCACATCAGACCCAGGGTACAACGCAGGGAATCGACCCTCTGGCCCTGGAGAGGAAACAACCTCACAAAACCATATCCCACAAAAAAGCAGCCCAAAAAGCAATGTTGCATTTTCTTTCCTCCCAGATTACCGCCTAGACCTCTCCGTGCGCTCGCTCATCGGATCCCGCAGCCGACTGCAGGATGTACCAAAGATAGCCCAGCTCGTTGAAGCGCGAGTCCACGCATGGTTTGAGGAACGCGTCGTTGAGCCTCGAGTGCAAGTCGTCGGACTTCCAGACCTGTGGCCACGCATGGGCAGGACAGGTGTTCGACCCGGCGAGGATTCAGATGCCGGGTCCGCGGTACCACCGCGTAGTGCTGGCTCTACCGAAGCATCGGGGCCACCTCGGTTCTCCGACGACCATGGTCGGGAACAGGAGGGGCTGCGCTTCCGTGGTGGCCTGGATGCACGGTTGGGCTCACGCACGAGAAATTTCAATGTTGATATGGGCGGTTTGCGCAGCTCAAGTATGACGAGACAAGGGAGTGACCATTTTGATATGCCTGGTGCCATGCCGTCGGGTACCCCAGTGGGCACGCCCGGCATCCCAGACCATTGACATCAATAAAAAGTGTCATTCGACACTATCTACCCACTTAGGTATGGTTTCGATTGATTTACTATGGGTTTGCTGTCCCCGTGTACATTAAAAAGCCCCATGCAACGAAAGTGATACAAGACAATCTCAAGGGAATTCCGATTTCCATCATTCGGTAATATATGTGCAAAGAATCCAGTCATAACGCATCTCAATATCAAAAGTGATACATCCTAAACAGTCGCAGTAGGAGCGACCACATTCTCCAGATAAGTCTTCCGGTGAGGGTTAGCATCAACCTCCGCACCACGGTTCAATGGCGTCCACTTAGGTTCGTCTTGGAAAAGACGCATGGCCTTAACATACTGCACAAAGTCAGTCTCTCATAATCCACAACCACAAAAATCCAAAAAGAACATACGTTCTGCTCATTGGTAGTAAACCGATGATAAATACCCGCAGGAAGAATGATCATATCCTCCTTAACAAGACAGATACGAATCCACTCGTCCTCCTGTCCACGGACATCGAAGTATCCCTCCCCGTCGAGAATGTACCGGATCTCCTCATCCTCATGCAAATGCTCCGAGAAGAATGACTTAACCTTCTCCTCGTAGATGGCGCCCATGCTTGCAGGCGACACACAGACCTCGTCGCGGTTACGATATCCACGCTCCGCCGCGATGGTATCCACTGCTGCGATTGTCGGGCAGTGCTTGTAAAAGACGCCTAACGAGGCGAGCTTATCTTCCGACACGGCGCGGCCAGAATCATGTGGCTCGCGCTGGTCGCCCTACAAACAAATGACATCAGCGTTGGTTCTAGTCTGGTGAGCTGTACCTGAAAATGGTTGGAAAGCTTGGTACGGCCAATTGGTGTGTGCTTACTTCGAGGTTGTCGTACCAGTATGCCTTCATTTTTGGATATTTTTTCACTGGTTGAGCTGGTGAATTAACAGATGGAAAGAGGGGTCAGTTGTAGAAAAAATGTCCTGATCAGCTTGTACAACTTTAATATCAGCAGCCCCGCAATTGGTCGATGGCGCAAGATTATGTCAGTGTGTGACCGCCCGGGGCCCTCGGGATTAACGGTTATAAGGCCAGTCACGTGACTAAATACAATTTTGCTTATCGATTTGATTTGATCTTCACTTATACGGAGTACCTGTTTTTTTGCTTCATATTTGAATTACACCTCACAATGGCTTTTCGAGCACGGTCAGTGGCTCTGACACGTCAGGGCCGCGGGCTCCGCTCATTTCTCGGCCGGAGTCGTGGTTTCGCGACTGTTACAGACAATACACGGTTTGCGACTCTCTCCTGTTGTCAATGTGGAGCCATGCTTATTGATTCATTTATAGACCGTATGACGTTGTTGTCATTGGAGGAGGCCATGCTGGATCTGAGGCATGTGCTGCTGCCGCTCGATCTGGCGCGCGCACTGCGTTGGTCACGCCCTCGGTGGAAAATATCGGTGTTTGTTCGTGCAACCCCAGTTTCGGCGGCATTGGAAAGGGAACAATGATTCGTGAGGTGGATGCAATGGACGGTGTTGCGGGCCGAATTATCGATAAAGCTGGTGTCATGTTTCGAGTTTTGAACCGCTCTAAAGGGCCGGCTGTTTGGGGACCGCGTGCGCAAATCGATCGCGATCTCTACAAGCGGTATATGTCCGAGGAGTTGGCTGGAACGGAAAATCTGAGCATCGTGGAGGGCAAGGTGGCTGATATTGTGCTCTCCACGGAAGGTATTGAGAATATTTCCGGTGCACAAGGCAAGATTGTTGGCGTGCGGTTGGAATCCGGGGAGGTCATCCCTACTGGTCGTGTGGTTATTACAACGGGCACTTTCCTGGGTGGTGAGATTCATATTGGGATGGATGTGTTCCCTTCCGGACGCATGGGTGAGGCCCCCACATATGGTCTCAGCAAGTCCCTCCGTGAAGCTGGCTTCCAATTGGGACGCTTGAAGACGGGTACGCCACCTCGATTGGATAGGAAGACCATTGACTTCAGCGCTCTTGAAGTGCAAAAGGGTGATTCGCCGCCTCACCCTTTCTCCTATCTCAACAAAACCGTCGAGGTAGGCGACGAAGGCCAGCTTACCTGCTGGATGACCCATACAAACGAAGCTGCCCATGAAATCATCCGTGCCAATCTGGACAAATCCATCCACATTCGTGAGACTGTTCGTGGGCCAAGATACTGTCCCTCCCTAGAGTCAAAGATCATCCGATTCAAGGACAAGACCCAGCACCAGATCTGGCTCGAGCCAGAAGGCTTCGCACCAAACGACGTCATCTACCCGAATGGCATTTCCATGACCGTGCCCGCAGACGCCCAATACGCCATGCTGCGAGTGATCCGCGGTCTCGAGAACGTAACCATGCTCCAGCCCGGCTACGGCGTTGAATACGACTACATTGACCCGCGCAACCTGCGACCAACCCTAGAGACAAAACTGATCAGCGGTCTCTACCTCGCCGGCCAAATCAACGGCACAACAGGCTACGAAGAAGCAACCGGACAAGGCATCATCGCAGGCACGAACGCCGGTCTTGAGTCGCAGAACCGATCACCCCTCACCCTGACCCGGTCAGACGGCTTTATCGGAATCATGATCGACGACCTCATCACCAAGGGCGTCTCAGAGCCCTACCGCATATTCACAACGCGAAGCGAGTATCGCATCTCCAGCCGCTCTGACAACGCCGACCTGCGTCTAACTCGCATGGCCCGCGATGCCGGCGTCGTCTCCGACAAGCGTTGGAGCCACTTCTCAGATACTGAAGCGCAGATCCAGGAGCTGCAGACTCTCCTTGGCAATACAACGATGTCATCGTCTGCTTGGTCTCGCAAGGGCTTCAAGGTGCGCTCTGACACCTCGATCCGCTCAGCGCTCGATATCTTGTGTCTGGATGGTACCGACATCAATGCCCTCATTCCCACTATCGAATCTCCTACGGGGGCCGTATATACCCCCCACTCGTTTGCGCCGGAGATCCTCACCCGCGTCGCTATCGAAGGCCGCTATGCGCCATACCTGAAGCGCCAGGAGAAGATGGCTGAGCGGTTCCAACAGGATGAAAATTTGCTGCTGCCGGCAGATTTGGATTACGGTATGGTTCACGGCATCAGCAATGAGGAACGACAGGCCCTTGAGCGCGTGCGGCCTGTCAGTGTTGGAATGGCGAGGCGCATTGAGGGTGTGACGCCTGTCGGTGCTTTGCGGTTGCTGATGCATGTGCGGAAGGGCACTGGGTTTTCTAAAGAGATTGACGGAGAAGACCTTGCTGTTGCTGACGTTCTCCGTTCAGCGCCTTGATTCATGGATATATAGGCATGGTTGGGACTCTCTTTTCTTTGATATATTGGCATAGCGGGAGCGACTCGGCGCTGGATGTGCTTTGACTGTACAATATCGACATGTATACTATTTGATCTCCGATGTGCATATTTGCATAACTATATCCCAACATAGAATATCCTATTTTTCAATTGATCATTATCCTCTACTCAATCCAAGCCACATTAAAGCACCAAAGTACCGTTTTGTCCAGATAGGGCAAACGGTCTCAACGAACCTCACAGTTAAACCCTAAGCATGAACCACAACCGCCCCCAAATAAGCACCCCCAAACCTTCCTCCCCTCAAAACACGCAGGGAAAAGGCAAAAGCAAAAAGGATAATCATAGCCTCGTACCCTCAACCTAGACTCGATCAAACCAAACCTAGAAAACACGCAAGGGGGAAGAGCAAGACACTGATCCGTCCATTGCGACAGGGATGTACAGAAACCGGAGACAAGACAGACGATACACCTATAACCAAATTGGGATGACAGGACAGAACAAAGAGCGATCCTTCTTATATCCCAAGATTGAAGCTCTAAACAAAATGCCTCGGTGCTTCTCTGTAGACGCCCATAAAAAAAGACCACCAGCGCACACACCTTCAGTCCCCCCACCATCTGGTGATCCCGATTGCAGCGCGTATCCGCGTATCCGCACCATCTTTGCTCGCTCAGATGTGACGAACAACACCTACCCAATCGGGCCTCGTACATAACGAGCTCAGCAAGCCCATCCAATCCGCTCCGGGAAGCTTGTGCTTTGTTTTATCGGTGCTGTAACAAAATAGAAAAGGTGGTGGCGTGCATAAGCCGTTGACAGCGATCTGATCTCACCCTTTTTTTGTTTTTTTCGCAAGAAAACGGCTGCGCGAGTCGCTTGCTGGACGCTTCCAATTGGTGCTCCGCTCTTGGGCTGGCTGTGATGTATACTAAATCACAAATATCACATATCCGCTAACCCCAGGGAAGAACGGGGCGTTATGGTGGTTAGCTGAGAGTGTAAATGGTGGATCGGCGAGAGCGTTCGATCTATCGAATTGATGCATCTGGGCTTGCTTCTTTCGTAAGCGCTGTACATCATGCGTTCTTTTTATTTTTTTGCGTCTGCTCGGATCAGAGCACGGATTGAGGGGCCAGTGTCCCATGGCGTATACAGTGACAGTAGAGGGGTCCGTAAGGGGGGGGGGGGGGGGGGTGGGAACTCATCCTTGCTTCCTAGCGCGCTACTCTCCGTGCTAGACCGAGGCTATGTGGGTTGGCGCTGATATAGTGTCTAACTAGTTCATAGTATAGTGCTTATAGCAAGGACGGTGTATAGGTGCCCTGCAGGAGGCACATGTATGCTGTATGGATTCTTGTAGTCCGCATGAGGTAAAAGCAATTACGGAGTACGTAATGCGCCGATGGCCATGCAGGTGCACTAGCACGATCATCTAGACGGCTTGGCAGCTGAGCAAGACGTCTTCTCCTGCATGGTGAAGAATGCACATGGCAGGTCGGTAGAATATGTCAGGATTTGCCTTCTAGAATGCTGGATACTGTCGTGCGAACTGAGGCTGGCGGGCACATGTCTCAGTTGAGCTATGATAGAGTGGCGAGACTCCATATACGTGCATAAGCTGTAGACCATAGTGCCCAGCGGTACTCCGAGCTCCGTGCTCCGTAGCTCG